AGTTCTAGATCTTTTGTCTCTAAATGCTACCCTTCTTACTACATCACAAGTTCAGAATCAGAATTTAGTAGGCTTGTAAGTTTGAAGCTGTATGAACATTGGCAATAGTAGGTGTAAAAGTCTGAAAAAGATTAAAGCCCCTTTATGGATATAAAGTATTAGTAAATCAGATCTTGATATTGAGTGTCTAACATGTAATTTTAGGATGACACCACATGTCTCAATATGTAATGCCATTTTCTTAGTATGGTAATAAGCCTCTTCACAAATTATTTCCTACCTACTTTTCTGTCTCATAGCAGTTTCTGTCATACATCTCTGTAGCTTACCCTTCCCCTATCCAACTATAATGAACAGCTGACTATTATCCAAATACACTGTCCATTTCCAAAGGTACTTAGCAACTTAGTACTCTGTGCCCTTCAATCTAATATACTTATTCATCTCTCAACAGTCCTAACTCAACTTCATCTCCTCTCTGTACCTTTCCTCAATTCTCCAAGCAAAGTTAATAATTCCTTTCTGTTTTCCCACAGCACTTAGTGTAGCAAATCCTTATTATAGCAGAAATCACATATTATGATTATGTATTTGAACTGCCATCTACCTACTAATCTGAGTTCTTTGTGAGTATAAGCTGGGACTTATTAGTCTTTGTGTCCTTAATACCCCATGTTACTCCTAGACTTTGATAGATTTTTGTCTGATGAATTAAAAAAGCTTTCCTCAAAGACCTGTACATTAATCTAAGTGGGAGACTGACCATATGAAAAATACATAGACACTTACAAATACATATTAATAAATATAGTTTATGCTTGAAGTAAAGTAGAGGAATGATATCCACCATTTGGAATTTTATAAGGACTATTTCTCTAAATCAGGGATTGGCAAACTGACCTACAGGCCAAATCCTGTCTGCTGACTGTTTTTGAAAATGTTTTTGGAACATAGCCATGTTCATTCGTTAATATATTATCTATGGGGCCTCCCTGGTGGTGCAGAGGTTGAGCGCTGGGCTGCGAAGCTGCCTGTAGCCTCTGCAGCACTGGTTCGATCCCCGGCCACCAGGTGAGGGTCCCACATGGCGCACAGACCTCTCCTGCTGCGCCCGCTGCTCCCCTCAGCAGTGTATTTCGTCGGTCTGCCTCTTCTGTTCCCCACTCTGTCTCTGGTGAATCCTCTCACCCTCCTGCGCTTCTGACTATACCCAGTGCTTGTATAAATAAATAAATAAATCTTTAAAAATATATATTATCTATGACTGCTTTCATGCTACAACAGCAGAGTTTAATAGTTGCAAAAGAAACCATATTTCCCATGAAACTGAAAATATTTACTGTCTGGCCCTTCATGATAATGTTTTCCAATCCCTGTTCTAGGAAGACTGAATTTTGAATACAGGTGTGAAATGATGAGGAATGTGAATTGAGGAAATTTGAGTGTGCATCATAATGCAGTAAAAACAGGCCATAGTGGACGGTATGCTAAGTAAACTGTTCTAAACCAGTTTATTAGAGAGAGCTATATTGAAGAGATAAAATGTCAAAAATGCTTTGGATTAAGAAAGAAGTAAATACATTAAATTGGCGAGATACAAAATTAATGCACAAAAATCAGTTGCCTCCCTATATACAAACAATGAATTAGAAGAAAGAGAAACTTAAAAAAAAGTCCTGAAAGTAAAATTAATGAAAGAGGTACATTGAAAATAGGCCTCCCTGGTGGTACAGGGGTTAAAGTCTTAGAGCTATCAAGCTATTGCCAGCCACTGCAGCATGAGTTCAATCCTTGTACAGGGAGCTGACCCACATGGCGGAGTGGACCTCTCCTGTCTCGCCTGCTGCTCCCCTCAGCAGTGTATTTCAGTAGATCTGCCTGTTCTGCTTCCCACTCTGTCTCTAGTGAATCCTCTTACCCTCTCACACCTCTGGCCTACACCACAGCTCTTGTATGCATAAATAAATAAATCTTTTAAAAAAATACTTAAAGAAAACATAGGTGATACACTGTTGGACATCATCTGCAAAAAGATATTTGGGTATGCATCTCCACTGTAAAAGAAACAAAGGCAAAATAAGCAAGTGTGACTACATCCAACTGAAAAGCTTTTGTTCATCAAAAGAAACCAACTTAAAAACAAAAGGGAACCTACAGACTGAGAGAAGGTATTTGTCCACCACATGTCTGACAAGGGGTTAATTTCCAAAATATGCAAAGTGCTCACAGAGCTTAACAAGAAGACAAAAAATCAGTCAAAAAAATGGGCCAAAAATCTAATTATACAGTTTTCTAAAGAAGACATTTTAATGCCTAAAGGCATATGAAAAAAATGTTCAACACCTGGAAAAACTGGACTGCCACATGCAAAAAAATTAATTTAGACCACTATCTCATATCATACACACAAAAATTAACTCAAAATGTATGGAAGACTTAGATGTAAGGCTGAAATCATAAAATACATAGAAGAAATCATAGGCAAAATACTCTGTGATATAGGCTTCAGTGATGTCTTTGGGTATTTATCTCCATCATCAAGAAAGCAAAAGAGAATATACACAATTGGGCACTCCATCAAACTGAAAAGCTTCTACACAGCAAGAGAAACTAGCAGTAAAACAAAAAGACATCATACTGAGTGGGGGTAAATATTTAAACACCATACATCTACAAGGGGCAAATATCCAGGCTCTACAAAGAACTCATACAGCTCAAAAAAAAAAAAAGAAAGAAAGAAAGAAAAGAAATAGCCCAATCAGAACCTGAACAGAAGAGCTAAATAGGTACTTCTGCAAAGAAGACATGCAGATAGCAGACACATGAAAAAATGGCTCATCATCATTTATCATTAAAGAAATGCAATCAAAATCACAATGAAATACCACCCCACACCTGTGAGAATAGTCCATATCACAAAGACCAGAAACAAGTGTTGATGAGGATGTGGAGAAAAAGGAACCCTCAGACACTGTTTGTAAAACTGTAGACTGGTCTAGCACCTATGGAAAACAATAGGGAGATTTCTCAAAATACTGCATATAGATCTACCATATGATCCAACAATTCCATTCCTAGGTATCTACTGAAGGAATACAGAAACACTAATTCTGAGGGATATATGCACTTCTATATTCATTCTAACACTGTAGTAGCTAAGCTATGGAAACAACCTAAGTGCCCCAAAACAGAGGACTGAATAAAGATATATATACATAATGCAACAATGGAATACTACTCAGCTATAAAATAAATAAATATATATATTTATATATGTATATACACTCTTGCTGTTTCAACAACATGGATGGACCTTACGTTGATTACAATAAATAAGTTAAAAAGTGAAAGACAGATATTGGATGGTTTATCTCCTCTGTGGAATATAAATAAAAAGTACACAGGCGGGGCCTCCCTGGTGGTGCAAGGGGTTAAGACGCAACCTATGAAGCTATCCGCAGCCACTGCAGCATGAATTCGATCCCCAGCAGGCAAGCAACCCACATGGCGCGGCAGACCTCTCCTGGCTCGCCCGCTGCTCCCTTCAGCAGTGTATTTCAGTTGGTCTGTCTGTTCTGTTCCCCACTCTGTTTCTGGTGAATCCTCTCACTGTCTGCACCTCTGGCCTATACTTCCATTCTTGTATACATAAATAAATAAATCTTTAAAAAAATACACAGGTAAAATGTGATAGGAACATATCTAAAGCTCTGTGAAAGAATATAATGGCTGCCAGAAGGAACAAGGAAGAGAGAGGAGGCAATGGAGGAGGGAGGCAGATTAGGTATGGGCATGGGTGGCTTGGTGGAGGGTGAGTGAAATGTGCACATATGGAAGAACAAAAATGTAACCCCAACAGTTATATTTTTTAAAAAAAAGGAAATTGTGGGGCCTCCCTCGTGGTTGAGTGGTTGAGCAGTGGTTGAGTGCTGGGTTGCGAAGCTGCCCTCAGCCTATGAGGCACCGGTTCGATCCCCAGCTGCTCCCTGGCCACTGGAGGAGGGACCCACATGGCGCGCAGACCTCTCCTGCCGCCCGCTGCTCCCCTCAGCAGTGTACTTCGGTCCTTCTGCCTGCTCTGCTCCCCGCTCTGGCTCTGGTGAATTCTCTCACCCTCCTGGGCTTCTGACTGTACCCAGTGCTTGTATAAATAAATAAATAAATAAATAAATCTTTAAAAAATAAATAAATAAAATGTTTTTTTTTTTTTAAAAAAGAAATTGTGGAATATATACTCGGTGGAATACTGCTCAGCTATCAAAAAAGATTAAATAGCGCCTTTTTGGACAAAATGGATGGATCTTGAGGTGATTATATACTAAGTGAAATAACTCAGAAAGTGAACGACAGATACCAAATAGTCTCAGTCATTTGTAGAATATAAATAAAGAATACATACTGGTAAAGCACAGCAAAAATAATTTGTGTACTCTCTGAAACATACTGTTTATCAGTGGGAGTGGGGTGGGGGAAGGGCACAGGGGAGGGAAGGGGCTAAGTCTTTGTCACAGGAGCACTGGTGGAGGGTAAGTGAGGCATGTGCGCATGAGGTGTGATAATGTGCACCCAAAGTTATATAGTATGAAAATGTCAAATTTATATTAAAACTTGAAAAATTAAAAAAATAAGGAACATAGAAATAGAATGGTAAGAAAATGTCGAGTAAACACTTTGCATCTATATACAGTAAGATAGTTTCTTAAGAAGTAGCAGGGGACCTCCCCTGTGGCACAGCGGTTGAGCGCTGGGTTGCGAAGCTGCCCGCAGCCTCTGCAGTGCTGGTTCGATCCCCGGCCACCGGTGAGGGTCCCACATGGCGCACAGACCTCTTCTGCTACACCCACTGCTCCTCTCAGCAGTGTACTTAGTCAATCTGCCTGTTCTGCTCCCCACTCTGGCTCTGGTGAATTCTCTCACCCTCCTGTGCTTCTGACTATACCCAGTGCTTGTATAAATAAATAAATAAATCTTTAAAAAAAAAAAGCTTTAAAAAAAGTAGCAGGGCATGATGATGATGATGATGATGCAACAATGCAATTAACATTGAGTGTTTGTGCCATTTACCGTTATATGCCATGTACTGTTCTGAGTGCTTTATATGTGATCCAGGTAATCTTGCCAGCAACTGTAGGAGTAATTGTTGTTACTGTGTTTATTTTACAGATGAGGAAACTGGGACACAGGAGATTTAATTACTTAACCAAGGTTATACAACTAGGAAGTGATAGAACAAAATCTGAACGCAGGCTCTCTGGCTACAGATTATACTAGAGGAAGGAAATCTGGGGATAGTTGGTAAAAACACCCTTAAGCTTGGAGTAAGGTAATTTCTTTGGGAGATTAGGAGAAGTGTACTATCCTGCCATAATAAAGAGAAAATGAACAAACCATAGGAGAATAATATTGGCAGACAGTGTCCAACTAGATAAAATATACTATGGGTTAGGCAGATGGGAGGGAAAGTGGAAGTGAAATGTGGCAGATGCATTATACAGTGAAACATGGTGCACAGATAGTCATTGAGTTTAACCTTGATGAGACCAGAAAGCAGTTAACTTTCTTGTACATATGAAATCTGTCTTTAAATGCCTGAAGAACGGGCTTACTCAATTGAGATAGAGATTTGCAGTGATTTTTCAAGGAGGTATAGGGGCATTTAACATCTTCCCCCACACACACCCAATATATCATAATCATACAGTTGTCAAATCATTACACATACAATTTCCTTGATTCTGGTTTTTTCCTCTATTCCTTTAGGGGGATGAAACCTATCACCCCTTTAGAGCACTTTAAAAAGTGTGTGTGTGTGTGTGTGTGTATTAAAATAATAAATACATTGTGAAAAATCACCAACAGGTATGACCAATGAAAGGGGAAAATTTCCTTCCCATTATTATCTTGTTCTCTAGAGAGAATCTCTCTTAAAATTTGGTTGTATTTGAAACTGTTTTTACTGATGGAAATGTGCTGGAATTCTGTCATGGTTATTGAGATAGAAAAATATTGAGACTCACTTCCCTAATGCCAAGAATGGAAGGAATGGAAAGGAGATGTTGGAGCTTTATCACTGGAAGTGTAAGACTTGTAGAAATGCTAGAAAGAAGATGCAAGCATTGGCCAGGATTGGTGGGATTAGAGACAGAAGAAGGAGGAGGCATTGACTAAATGACTTTTAACATCCCTTTCAAACCTGTAATTCTGTGTTTTTACCAACAGACTGATAACCCAACCCAAAGGAAAAGACTCCAGTGTAATTTTGAGATAGTTGACTTGAGTGGAAGAAAAAGTGGTGTAAGAGAAAATTCAATATATAAAATTTGAATTTATAGAACAAGTTACTTTATTTGTATAAAAATTTCTTTTAACCATCTTGTGCTCAAAATACACTTCCATTTTTTATTAAAAATTCCATTTATACTTAACTTTTTAGGACTGTATGTACTGTGTAAAATAAAGTTCAGTATACATTGTTCATTATTTCAAAGAAAGTCTTTCAAAGTATCTACCAGGTTAAATTGTAGTGGATATGAACTGGGCCCCTGCTGCTACTATTCCATAACCTAATAATATAATGGAATTTAGAAGGGACCTTACAGATCATGAGTGAAGTTCAATACCTTCATTTTATAAATGAGGAAAGTAAAAACTAAAGATAATATATTACTGGCTTAGAATCTCACAGTACCCTGGCTAGCCATAAGGTATGTAAAGCGCCTACCATAGTCCCAGTAAGTGGTAAATACAGAAGCAGAAAGGAAAGAAGGTGCTTTTGTTATTTCTTCTGTCCCTTACCACGCACACTTCTATAAGCGTTCGGAGAGAAACACGTGCATACACATATTCATTCCATGCTATAAACCTAAGGCTGCACAGCGATGTAATGATGAACTCAGTAATTGCATACTCCTATGAAATTATAGGCTCTCAGATTGGAAAAGACCTTTAAAGGTTACCTAATCCAGTCTCTCTTTCTTCTCATGATTTAACATCTCCAAAAGGTTATCTTACCTCTGTTTCCATACCCTCAATGAGGACAGATTCATACCTTCCCTTTCCGGAGACTTCATCCCATTGTTGGATGCCTCTGATTGCCAGCATTCTTCCTAATGAGATGAAACCTATTTATTTGTATCTAGTCTCTTGAAGTTACGACAGAGTAAAGCAAATCTCATCTCTCCTCAACATGACAACACTCCTCATTTTTGAAAACAGCTCTCATTTTTACCTTGAGTTTTTACTTTTTCTGGTTAAATCTCTCTACTTTCTTAAATCCTCACTAGCCTTGATTCTTTCCTTTAAATGAGAGTTGCACCTATATCTCATTCAGAGTATAGGAGCTAGATTTGAACAGCAAGCTCTCTACCTATGAAGTGTTTGGATGGACTAATAGAGTGGATCATCCAGTACTGTCATCTCTCCTTCATTCTGTATACTGACTGAATGATGATGATAATGATGGGTGGTGGAGTGCATTACTTATTTCATGAATCAGATCCATATATGTGTGTCAGGAAGTATGATGCCGCATCATTGGTACCACTAAACATCTGTGTGCAAGAAGCATGAAGCAAAGAATTCTAATAGTATTAGATTCCCCTTTGTTCTGGATCACACCTCTATAAGCCTTTGGAAAGTGTGTGTGTGTGTGTGTGTGTGTGTGTGTGTGTGTGTGTGTGTGTGTCTGTATGTATCATTCTACTAAGACTGCCTGAGACAAAGAGAGTTACGTCTTCTCTGCATTTTCATTAGCCATTCATTGCTACTGCTTTGCTTGTTAAAGGAATTACTGGTGTGCTCTGGGGTTCTTTTCTGTGTGTACACACACACCAAGATGTGTAATTGCTATAGAGGGAGTGGGGAGTGGGATAATCACCAAGGAGAGATCTGCTTCATCTTCTTTGTTCACATCTGCTGCAAGCACAAGACAGGATTTACTGCTCTTTTTGAGAAAGGGATTGCCTAGCTTTCTTCCCCTCCCCCACCTCTTTTGACAGCTCGTCCCAGATGAATATTACCATCTCATTACACTTATCTCTGAATAAAGTACAGTAAATGAAGGCATGCTGAAGGTGGAAAATCAGCTGAAAGGCACTAGGAATACTCGCTAATAAGGAAGAGTGGCTAATCAGTGGCACATCCCAGACTAGTCCTCTGTCTCCTGACTGCCCTGTAGCTTATACTCCATGACCACAGTGGACAAGTATTCTGCTCCCAGCTTTTCTATTTTGATTTCATGTATATTGGCATAGGATGATGGTTTATCACAAGCACAGCTACTAATTTAACTCCAAAGGAATTCTGTATTGTTTTAATAGTTTTTAGAAGTACATTTGATACATTTTCTGGTTTCTAGTTTCCATTTCTGGAGGAAATAACCCTCTCCTGGTTCCTTCTCCCCTCCCTCCCCATTCTCTCTGATTGGTGTGTGCCTGCAAACTCGTATGCTACTTTTGTGTTTTCCAAGTTCTATGTATTTTTAAAACGTGGTACCTCTGGACACCCTCTATTTAATCTAGTTTTACATAATCAAATCCCAGACCATGCCCAATCTTATTCATTATACATATTAAGTTAACAAGCATCAGTGCTTCAGTTTTTCCTGTAATAGAATGGGTAAAATATTTACATTCACACCTGGTTGTAGTTATACCCAAGGCAAGGCTATTTTATGTTAGAAACAAATCTAAGGTTCCCAATTTGTGAATTTGTTGTTGTTTTTAATAGAGAAAGGAAGTGAAGTTAAAAAGTGTGATTTGAGTGCAAATCACCACTTTTCTATTCAGTGTTAATTTAACCTCTCTATCATTTCCTCATTAGTAAGGAGGGTAATGGTATCATATTATGTGGTATCATACCGATGAGGATTCAACAAGATGCTATTTTTTAAATACCTAGCATAAATTAATCTGCCACGTAGTAAACACTTAAAAATAATAGATGTGTTACTGTTTACAATAGATAAACTATGGAAACAACCCAAATGCCCAAAAATAGATGACTAGGTCAAGAAGATGTGTTATTTATATACAATGGCATATTACTCAGCAATCAAAAAAGATAAACCCATGCCTTTCACAGAAACATGAATAGAGCGGGAAGGGATTATGCTCAGCAAAATAGGCCAGAAAGAAAAATACTGAATGGTTTCACTCATAGGAATGTAGAGGATCCAAATAAGGGATCAGGGGAAAAATGTAATTATAATAAAGTATAAATCAAAATCAACAGGCAACTATAAACCAGAGACATTCTGCTGGGGGGGGGAGGGAGTAGAATGAAAACAGGGGTGGGAGGAGCACAAGGGACTGTGGTGATGGTATATGGGTGAATTGGTGGTGGGAATCTCACGGGGACTATACCTGAGACAAGAAAGCATATATTGTACAAAAATGAAGAATGATGTAAAAAATATATAAAATAATAATAAAAATAATAGCTGTATGATATCAGTGATAATTGTTATTGTTAAGATACAAGTGATAATTTTACAACTGATTTTTATCAGTGTTAAATATGAAGAATTTTTCCTCCTCTTTTCTTCAAGTGATGGCCTATTATGATTGTTTTTTCGTATTTTGAAAAAATACTTCCATAGCCTTATAGATAGTCCTACACCATAATATCTTCTGCTTAATGGTTTCCAGAAATACTAGAATTTTTGCATTCTCTAGTTCAGCAGTGTCCAGTACAGTAGTCACTGGCCATCTGAGTCTATTTAAAGTTAATACAAATGAAGTACAATTAAAAATGCAACTCCTCAGTCGCCTTAGCCACATTTATAGTGCTGCATAGCCACATATGACTAGTAGATGCCAGTTGGAGATACAGATATAGAACATTTCCATTATTGCAGAAAGTCCTGTTGGATAGTATTCTTTAGCAATCACTAGTCTATCTCTTGTGTGCTTTTCTCAGAAATCAAAGGTGTATTTTTTTTTATTTTTATTTTTTTAAATAATAAATTTTATTGTTATATTCCCCATACAATTGCAGCCCCCCCATTCTGACCCCAATCCCTCCCCTCCCGCCCCCGCCCCCTAAAAGTGTCTCTGGTTCATAGTTTTTTGCTGATTTTGATTTTCACTTTCTTAAAGTTATTCATTTTCCTGGTCCCTTATTTAAGTTTTCTAGATTCCTGTTATGAGTGAGACCATCCGGTATTTTTCTTTTTCTTTTTGGCTTATTCCGCTGAGCATGATCCCTTCCAGCGCCATCCATGTTGCTGCAAATTGCATGTGTTTATCTTTTTTGAATGCTGAGTAATATTCCATGGTATATATGTACCACATCTTCTTGATCCAGTAATCTGTTTTTGGGCATTTGGGTTGTTTCCAAAGCTTAGCTATTGTAAACAGTGCTGCTGTAAACATAGGGGTGCAGGTGTTCTTTGGAATTGATGTTTCTTATAGAATGTTCCAGAGACTACTCTCTTAGTGTTTTAGGGCTCTGAGCAAATCTATTTTGAGGACTTAGGTTATTCTTCCTTTTCTAGTCCCTGTGTTAACTGCTGTCTTTGGGACAAGTACAAGTACTTTCACTCCCCCAAGATCACATTGTCATAATTTTTTTTTTTTTAAGAGGCATGTTTTTTATTTATTTATTTGTTTGTTTGTTTGTTTTGTTTATACATGCACTGGGTACAGTCAGAAGCGCGGGAGGGTGAGAGAACTCACCAGAGCCAGAGCGGGGAGCAGAGCAGGCAGAAGGACCGAAGTACACTGCTGAGGGGAGCAGCGGGCGGCAGGAGAGGTCTGCGCGCCATGTGGGACCCTCCTCCAGTGGCCAGGGAGCAGCCGGGGATCGAACTGGCGCCGCAGAGGCCGCGGGCAGCTTCGCAACCCAGCGCTCAACCACTGCGCCACCGGGGAGGCCCACGTTGTCATAATTTTTAAAGATCTCAGCCAACCATAAGAGGAAGCCTTGTTAGTTGGAAACTGTTTCTATTCAGTATGTGCATAGGACCCATAACAAATACCTGTAGTCTTTATTTCATAAATATTGAGAATTAGTTAAGCTTGTGGTACTTGCTATGAGGTACTGTCTAACCCCAATAGTCTAATAAGCAAAAATAAATAGTATCTAAACATTCTTTTCTTATATGTAGCCCAATTTGTTAATAGTTAAAAGTCTCAGAACTTTATAGGGTAATAAATATCCGCCTTCCTTCCCACTCCCATTTTACAGATGGAGAAACTAACTGAGAAACTGATTTATCAAAGGTCAGAGCAAGGTATTGGTGGATCCAGGGATAAATCCCAACCCTCTTAACTCCTGATCAGTTTTTAGTTCTTTGACTATGCAGCCTAATGGTAAGTATCTTTTTACTCTACCCTTGAGGTAAGAGGGATTAAGAAATTTAGCAAGGACAGAATTTAAGGAATTCCTTATTACTAATTAAATAATCCAGTAGCCTTTTCTTTAAGCCATGATGTCATTTTTGTCTTAGCATGAATTTTCCACGTAAGAGAGGAGGTTGGAAGTTTTGCTTTCTAAACATGAAAAATATTTCTGTGGCAGTTCAACTACATTATTGTTAAGAAAGGAATGAAAGAAAAACCTATTATTAAATGAATTTGCTCTCTGTTGGGCACCATGGTAAATACTTTCATAATAGCTTACTTAATTGTCATTAAAATGTATAGCCAATTCTGGACGATGTGCATTCTTACCATTTTTATATTGTTATTTTTAATATCAATTGGATTAAATACAAAAAAATCTTTTCTTGAAGAGTCTAGATTCTAAATAAAATTTGAGTTTTACAGATGCTAAGAACCTTATTATATATCCTTAAAGATAAAATCTTTTTATGTTTAAACATGGTTTTCTAGTTTATAATGTCTTCTCACTTTTTTATCCCTTCCTTGGGAAATTCTAAAGTAAGATGATTTGTCTTGCTGAGATAAGCTTGCTTTTTCATTTACCACTAAAATCATACTTTCTCTAAAACCTTTTCTATTTCTATGTCTAAAAAGTCATGTTTCTTTAATTACTAGGTAGGTTGAGCAACCAAGTCACATGAAAATTAGGGTGTAATGGATCTCTAGAGCCATTAGTATTACCCATGGATTTGTTCTAGCTTATTGTAGATCTGCTTTATCTGCTATAGTTAAAGGGATAGCCACTAACATTAATCACATTTTACTTCTTATATACCCACTACATGCCTTCTGTTCTAGCCACATTGGACTGCAGTTGGTCAACATGGCACTGCCCAATGGATACAATGCAAATTACACTGTAATTTTTAAATTTTCCGGTAACCACACTGAAAAAAGTAAAAAGAAACAGGAGAAATTAATTTTAGTAACATTTTATTTAGCCTAATGTATCTAAAATATTATTTTGAACTCTAACCAATATAAAAATGTATGAGCTAATCTACATTCCTTTTTTCATATGTAGTCTTAAAAATCTGCTGTATGTTTTACAGTTATAGCACATCTCAATACAGACACTAAGTTTTATCAGAAATGCTTGATATGTATTTAGACTTCAAAAAATTTACAGTTGAAAAAGTATATTCTCATAACCAGTTTTATTCCATACTTTCCCAGTAACTGAACTGAATTAGTTCTTAAATTTAAATTGATAAATTTGTTTTTAAATTAATACAAATTAAAACAAAAGTACTCACTTCTTAGTCACTAGCCACATTTCAAGTGCTCAATATCTAGTTTACAGGGTTTTAGTGTTTTGCTTAGTGATATATCTTTAGTGCTGAGAGTAATGCCCGATAAATAGCAGATGTTTATTGAATTAATAAACCTACATAAGCAGGGTTCAGGGCATTAATTCAATTCCATTTTTTATTCGTGAGTTTTCTCCCTTTGTGAACATACACATGCATTTCATTGCTGTTGTCTGTGGGCAGCCCTTCCCCTCTGTGGGCACTGTTGAACTTTCTGAATCTCAGATTCCTCACCTATAAAAAAGTAATTGATAATGCTTGAAGTTATATATATGAAGATGTTGGGGGTTCTTGGGTCCCTCTGAGAATGAATTTGGCAGTCTCCCTTTCAGTGGCACGCGGCAAGTTTATTAAGAAAAATGAACTCCTGCATAGACACAGGCAGGTAGAAAACTGCATTTTGAAAAAGACAGGTGTATTAAGGGGAAAAAAGACATTTGCATAGAAACAAATGGGCAAACAGCTATATTTTGAAAGGGACAGATTCATTAAGAAAAAGACACGTGCAGGTGGACAAAGAGCTTTGTTTTGCCAGAGCATAAGGTGTTCTTATATATTTTTCTTTGATGGGATTTATTACTCTGGGGTGGGTTGGATTGGTATTTGTAAAGACTGATAACCCTTTCTACCCCTCCCTCTGGTTTTTGACCTTAGGAAAACTTGAATCCTAAATTTTCTACTCTAACCTTCCATCAGAAATCCCTGGTACTCGGCCTCATGTATGGTAATGACAGGTATTATTTTAATCTGAAATTGAATCAGTGCGGCAACCTCTGACCCTCCTGGTATCCCAGAAAATTGCAAGTTCATTTTTAAATTTATTATTTTTAATTATTTATAGAGTATATGTAACATAAAATTTATCCTCTTCAGTGATATTAAATACATTTACATTGTTGTACAACCATTACCATACTCTTGCTCCAGAATTTTTTTATCTTGTAAAACTGAATGAAGCTCTGGACCCAATAAATGATAGCATGCTCATTTAAAATATTAACTTAGGATAAATCGTGATTGAAACAGTAAAGCAGTAGTGGAAAAGATTACATATACTAAAATATATATAAACATGTGTGACTTTTACATTACTTACAGTTTTAGATACGTTTTTAGTTATTCTTCATTAACATGAATAATTAATAACCATAACTAACCATAGTGTCTAAGTATTAATCTGTCAGTATTGTTTTGATGAGGGCATGCATTTAAATATTGACTTCTGTATAATTTTTCTCTCATTACATAACTTTCTGAGTTTGGAAAACAGACAGTTTTGTTTGAGTACTTACTGTTTGCCAGGAATACTGACTGTCTTAATAATACTTATCTCTTATTTCTCTGACACACTGTGACAGACTGGAAATAGAAGGCAGACTCTGCTTAGGGGTGTTAACTAGAAAGCTATCGCAAAGTAACATTTATTCTGGACAATAAGTAAACAGGAAGCTCCCAGGTAGAGGGATGGGAGGGAAGAGTTCAGATATAGGAGAGTATGGGATGTTTATTATATTTGGATATAATTTAGGGCTTGATATTTGAAGACTTTTTTTTAAAAGATTTTTATTTATACAAGAACCGGAGTACAGGCCAGATGTGCGGGAGGGTGAGAGTATTCACCAGAGACAGAGCAGGGAACAGAACAGGCAGACTGACAAAATACACTGCTGAGGGGAGCAGCGGGTGAGACAGGAGAGGTCTGCTGCACCATGTGGGTTTCTCCCCTGCTGGCTGGGACAGAATCATGCCGCAGAGGCTGTGGACAGCCTCACAGTATGGCACTCAACCGCCTGTGCCACCAGGGATGCCCCATATTTGAAGACTTTTTAATGGAGCAATAACAAGTTTAATATATATTTTTTAAAAATTTATATTAAAGTGGATTGGAAAGGATTGAAATCAGAGGAATTAAGTAACTTTATTGGTCAAAGTGAGAAATAATGAAATCTTAAACGCAGATAAGTTCAGGGGTGGTACAACAGAGGAGATGGTGGTTTAAGAGATAAAATTAACAGTATTAGTTTTGGAGGGCAAGGGAGAGCAAGCATGAAGGAAGATTCCAGGTTTCTCATTTGTTACTGTTAACTGGTGTACTGCCGGGAGAAGGGGAATAAAATAAAACTGGTTATTTTAAAATAGTAGCTTCATATCATAATACATTCTGAAACAGGGCTATTCTTAGAATGTTTTGAAAAATTATAGGTGACTAGCTCTTTTTAATGGCTAGCATCAGGTACTATATTCTGTTCATTTAGGAATTGATATAGGGTCAGTTACCTAATCCCCTTGAGTAATTTATGGTGATGCTTAAAAGTTAGCATTTTTTAATATAATTGTTTCCTTTTCTTCTTTTGATGTTGCTTTCCAGATTCTACTGATATGTGCCAGTGGTTTCAAACATTTCTTCTCAGAAATTCCTTTCTTTTTGTCTTTATTTGATGCTTTTCTTTCCAAGTAAGCTTGCTAGCTTATTTTGTTCATATTCTTTGGCAGTTAAGTTTGGCTTTCTTTTTTTCCCCACTCTCTTTACTGGAGTGTTGTTTTGTTGTTTTCCTAAATAGCACTGGTTGCTTTTGATAATTATTTTAACATTAATGATCTTGTAGCCTGGTTTCTATTTAGTGTTGCTTCCTTGACTTAGTTTTGTGTATATTTAAGTGATATAATAGTAAAAATTTGTGTGTAATTGAAATGTATATTGTGTATTTTTTAAGAATATATTCTTTCTAATTATAAAAATGTGAGAAGTTTTAAACAAATTTAATTATTATACCCTAATGTCTCTTCTCTGTCAGCAAATTTTAAACCTGGTCAAATTTGTAATCTTTATTAATGATCTAGAGGAAAATAAACAACAGGTTATTTGGAAGGCAGATGACATCAAACTGGAAGAAAAGGCAAAACCCTTCACATGGGCACTGACCAATATAATAGGAATGTAGTTTAAAAAAAAGTCTGTAACAGGCAAATCAGAAAAGTGACAAGAGCCAGATTCTGCATATCTTTGAAAGACACCCTTAATTCAGTGGAAGCTTTTAGAGTTCCCTAAGCAGACAGTTGACATTGTTTCATATTTTGAAATGCTCACTCTCACCCCTATGTGGAGAGTAAGTTGGAGTGCCACAGGAGTAAAAGCAGGAAAAGTTAGCAGGCTATTATAATGGTCCAGGTAAAATAATGGTGACTTGAACTAGAGTGCGTGAGTAATGGGGTAGATTTGCCCAGCAGCACTTAACTGATGGATTGACTGTACATATAAAGGAAATAGTTGCATCAAGAATAATTGAGGGAATTTTTCTTGAGCATTTGAGTGATGGAGTTACTATTTGCCTGTGTTTGGAAAGATGAAAAGGTTGACAAAGATATTTTGGTCTTGTTAAGTTTGAAATATCCAATTGATAACCATTTATAGGCCATTTATTTTTTCTTTTTTTTATTATTTTTTAAATATTTATTTATTTATACAAGTACCGGGTACAGTCAGAAGCGTGGGAGGGTGAGAGAATTCACCAGAGCCAGAGGGGGGAACAGAACAGGCAGAGTGACGAAATACACTGCTGAGGGGAGCAGTGGGTGCGGTAGAAGAGGTCTGTCGTGCCATGTGGGACCCTCGCTGGCAGCCCGGGATCGAACCGGCACTGCAGAGACTGGGGGCAGCTTCGCAGCCCACTGCTCAACCGCTGCGTCAGCAGGGGAGGCCCTTATAGGCCAATTAGAGATGGTCTATAAGTAGTTGTATTATGTGAATGTGGAAGAGACCAATACTGGTGATATAAATTTGGGAGTAATCTCAACTTGAGTTGTGAGCAGGAAAAAACCCTATTTTAATTAGGAAATAGCATGAAGAAATAATAAGGCAGTGACAACTCTTAAAAAATATTTTTCCAGGCTTCCCTGGTGGCCCACGGGGTTAAGCACAGCACCATGAAGCAATCCGCATCTCTGCAGCATGATTTCAATCACTGGCCAGCCAAGGAGCTACCCACATGGTGAGGCAGACCTCTCCTGACTCGCCCGCTGCTTCCTTCAGCAGTGTATTTCAGTCAGTCTGCCTGTTCTGTTCCCCATTCTGTCTCTGGTGAATCCTCTCACCCCCAGCATCTCTGGCCTGCACCCCAGTTCTTGTATGCATAAATAAATCTTTAAAAAAAATTTTCCTATTAAGGAGAGCAGAGAAATAAAAGAATATAGCTGGAGGGATTAATTAGCATTAAGAGTATTGGGGTGAGGGTATGTGTTTAGATTTTTTATATGTGTATTTATTTTGATAGGAGACAATGGAGGAATAAGAATGCTAATGCAAATGCTTTATTAGAAAGAGAACGTAGTTGTCCCTTGAACAATATGAGTTTGAACTGTACAGGTCCACTTATACACAGATTTTCTTGTGAACAGATAATGTAAACTGTTCACAACAGTTTCTGTTATAACAGGTGATTTAAACTTTCAGTATTGATACAATCCAGTGCTGTAAATGTATTTTCTCTTCCTTATTTTCTTTTCTCTATCTCACTTTATTCTAAGAATACAGTATATAGTACATGTAGCATAAAATATGTATTAGTCAACTGTTATTGGTAAGCTTTTTGTGCAACATTAAGTTTGGGGCAAAGTCAAAAGTTAGATAGATTTTTGACTGTGGGGGTAAGCGGGTGCAGCACTCCTAACCCCTGCATTTTTCAAGGGTTAACTGTATTTACAAAGTCCTTAAGAGGATAAGAGGGAATGGAATCTGGACCAAAAACAAAGGGTTGACTTTTAGAGACATTTTATCCACAACAACAGGGGAGAAATCAGAAAGAAAAATGAGGGAGTAGTTTCATTCATTCACCAAACATTAACTGAATACTGCTCCTATACTATCCATCTGTACTTTCCCAAAGTCTGTTCTTTCCAAAAACAAGTCACATATGAAAGTCTTCTACCCTTTATTTCTGTTTTCTCAATGAAGCCTGAATTTAGGTCATCCCTTAAGAGAGAAGGTGAGGGAAGGAATGTTTGGAGTAAAGAAGAAGAAAATATATGAATTTATTATTTTTTTTTGAAAGTAGAAAGCATAGTAGGGAATTGTGGTGTGATTTCTAGGCATCATTCGTGACATTTGATAATGAATGGCCATGAGTTTAAATTTAGTGAGACCTATACATTTGGCATTTGTTTTTCTTCAGCACTCATGAGCTGCTACAGTAGGCATAGTTAAGTGGATAAGTGGTGTTAACTAACATTAGGACTGAGACTTTCCTAGGCAAATCTGACCAAAAAAAAGAAGGGAGTTAAGAAAGCCCTCCTTCAACTCTCCTGCGCTGTTGGTGGGAGTGCAAAATGGTCCAACCACTGTGGAAAGCTGTGTGGAGATTTCTTGACCTGCTAAAGATAGAGCTTCCATGTGATCCAGCAACTCCACTCCTAGGTATTTACCCAAAGGACACAGAAACATTAATTCAAAAGGGCACCTGCATCCCTGTGTTTTTAGCAGCACTATTTACAATGACTGAGCTTTGGAAACAACCCAAATGCCCAAAAATAGATGATTGGATCAAGAAGATGTGGTACATATATACAATGGAATATTGCTTAGTAATCAAAAAAGATGAACTCATGCAATTTGCAGCAACATGGATGGAATTGGAAGGGATCATGTTCAGCAAAATAAGCCAGAAAGAAAAAGAAAAATACCGGATGGTCTCACTCATGGCAGGAATCTAGAAAACCTAAATAAGGGACCAGGAAAAGACTAATTGCAATAAAGTAAAAATCAAAATCAACAAGCGACTATAGACCAGAGACACACTACAGTGGGGGGCGGGGAGAGAAGAGGGATTAGGGTCAGAAAAAGGAGGTGGGAATTGTATGGGGAATATAACCAAAATGAAAATGCATACATTATGCAAAAATGAAAAATGATGTAAGAATTATATGAAATAAAATAATTCATAAAAAAGAAAGCCCTCCTTCCAAAATATTTTGTAACTATGCATAATGACAAATATTAGACTTATTATAGTGAGCATGTTGAAGATACGCAAATATCAAAATCATTATGTTGTATACCTGAAACTAATAAAATCTTATGTGTCAGTTATACTTCAATTTTTAAAAAAATGTTTGCTGGGGAGTGGTATTAATGAAGGACCATGGAGTCTGAGCAGGGTAAGAAAAGTAAAAATAAAGCAAGAAGATGGATAATGAATATGGCAAGTGGTAAGGGCAGACAGATCTAAATTTTAAAACAAGAAAAATGCGCTTCCATTGTATTAGTAATCATCTTATTTATAGAAAATTTGAAACAGTAAGATTAGATAGTACTACTACTGCCAGAGATAAACAATTGATTCTGTCATTTCCTATCTTTATATAATTTTTCTAGTAATAACTTTCAAGTGTTGTTTTATTTTGCTGGGGCTGTCATAACAGAAACTAAAAACTGAGAGATTTTTTTCCCCCTCGCAGTTCTGGAGGCTGCAAGTCCAAGATAAAGGTGTTGGCAGGATTGGTTTTTTTCCTCAGGCTCTTAGATTTCTCTCTTGTATCTTCATGTGATGTTTCCTCGGTGCCTGTGTCCACATTTTGTCGTCTTGTAAGGACACAAATCACATTGGACTTGGACCCACCCTAATGACTTTATTTTACTAAATTAATTTTTATTAACCCTTTTTCCAAAAACAGTCACATTCTAAAACAGTGGAGTGGGAGAACATCAACATAAATTGAGAGGTGGGGAGGAGAGCTTAATTCAGCCCTTGACAACGATGTTCTTTGCTTATAGTTTTTCATGTAATTTATATTTCTTGAATATCATTTTAATATACCAAATTTTTCCAGATAACATAACTTCAGCGTTTTCCATTTTGTTATGTAGCCTTTATAAAAATGTGATTATTGCAAAATACTTGGCCAAGTGAATGTATTGCAATATTTTAGTCTAAGATTCTGTTTTGAACAGTTATTATACCAAATACTAAAACATTTTAAAACTTTTTTCTGATATTTTGTATTATTTCTTAAAATAGAATTTCAGAACTAGACTACTTTATCAAAATAGATGCATTCTGCTAAATCCTGTGTTTAAATCCTATGTTTTCTCTCTTTCTGCAGTAATAGACTGGAATGATGTTAGAAAACACAAATATAGTCATCTGTCAGAGTCTGCATCCCAATGTCAAGGTAAGGAAAAAACTCTTGTTTAGCAAGAAAAAAATCATAGTTGATGTCTCTTATAAACCTTTGCTCTTAGAGATCTGAGTGTACAAAAAACTCACTTGTTAAAGCAAAAACAAATATTGTAATGTATAGAGGTATCTGTCAAGAGAAGTATGCTTTGTTTTGAGCTAAAAATCAGGAAACTTAAATTTTGAGTATAGGCAGGTAACTTGGTAACTTTAGGCACAGCTACTTAGCCTCTCTGGATTTCCACATTTTTCAGATATTAGACTTGGGAGTAAGGCAGAATTGGTGGTGAACTTCGACAACAACTACTAATAAACTCAATAGCTTTGAAAAGAGAATTGGACTAGGTGAACTCTCAAGCCCTCATTTTACCCCAGAACTTCACCTTCCTGTCATTTTGCTATGTTTGTCATGGTGACTTATGCTGTAACTTTTTTTCTTTAATAGAAGCTACCGACATCCTGGAGCTAGGTAAGTTATTTTTGTATGTTTCTATTAAATAAGGGGAATTACTAAGCCAGGGATTAGATTTTAACTAGGGAAAAAAATCCCATGTGTCTCTGTCTCATAAACTAGTGATTCTAGTGCTCTTATCTCCTAATAAGCCCATTTAATTTACCTTAGCTGTATGTCAGACCATCGTTATCACTGTCCAAGCTAAGTAAAAGGGAAGGGGGTTTAATTATACATAATACAAGGAAAATGAGAATTGAACCAAACTGGAATTAACTTCTTAAAATTCAATAAATGTGGAACTAAAGCCCCTATTTATCCAAAAATCAGAACTTGATGGAATTTTTCCCAAAAGAAATTATATACTGTATGAGATACAGAGAACTAAAATTAAAACTCAGGATTTTCTATTTTTTTTTAAATTAAATAAAAATAAATATTAAAATATTAAATAGCAAGAGTTAAACTAATATTTTTCACTCAGCTTTTAGGGTTCCTATAAAGACATTAATCTTAATTTCTTAGTCTTTGCAAATCCTACATGTTAATATTAAAAACCTGATTATCAATTTTTGTTCAAGTATTTTTACATACTGTGTTACTGCAACTTCATGTGTTCAACTCTTATTATCAATGTCTATTTTCTACCAATGACATACTACTTTTATGATCCATAGGCAAGGAAGAGAAAGTAGTCAAACACTAAACTAGGAGTCAGAGCTCCTTTGTACTTTGAAATTGAACCCAGCCACTTAGTATCTTTGTGACTCTGAGCCTTAGTTTTCTGATTTGTAAACTGGTGATAATAATCTGTTTTGCCTGCTTCACGTGGTTGTTAAGATTACATAAGTTAATGGGTATGAAATCATCTTAAAAACTCTTGAATACTTTTCAACTTTGGAAGGTTACTATAATTTTCATTCTGTTCAGTGACTGTCCTCAGACTTTAGGTTAAATACGTGACATCTTTGAAGTGAAGCATTCTATTAATGTGAGCTGAAAAAATAAATAAAATAAAATAATGCAGGTAAAGGGCCTGCCACTTGATAAACAATAAATGATAGCCACTTTTAATTATTCCTTAAAACTTTCCTGGAACTGTCTAGGCCACTGACATCATAGAAAATGCATGGACATAAAATCAGAAAAGCCTTGGTTCAAATTCCTATTCCCCACTTACCAGTTTTTTTGATTTCAAAAAAATTACTTAATCTTTCTGCACCTATGATCTTTAAAATGGAAATAGAGCCTACTTTGCAAGTTATAATGAACATGGGAGATAATGAACATAATTTGGCATGGTGCAGGCAAATGTCATTTCTGCTGTTTGTGATTTTGTTGCTGATATGGTAATAGCAATTTCAAGTTCAGTAACAACTTAGGATAATTTATAAACAACTGTTGACAGGAAATTGTGAAAAGTGGATATACTCAAATTAACATAAAGTATATCCACTATTAAATATTGCTTAAAATTTGAAAGTATTTTTCCTCATGGGAATAGAGGTAGCCCAATCAGAGCTATCATCTGATAAGTTAGTCCTACATTTTCGTTTTACTCATCAAACACAGAAAGCAGTCCAAAATATAAAATTCAATAGAGTCACAGAACCTTAGAGTTTGGAAGGGGCCTTAAAATAATCTAAGTTGGGGCCTCCCCGGTGGCGCAGCGGTTTAGCGCTGGGTTGCGAAGCTGCCTGAAGCCTCCACGGCTCTGGTTCAATCCCCAGCTGCTCCCAGGCCACCGGAGGAGTGTCCCACATGGCGCACAGACCTCTCCTGCCACCCACTGCTCCCCTCAGCAGTGTACTTCGGTCCTTCTGCCTGCTCTGCTCCCCACTCTGGCTCTGGTGAATTCTCTCACCCTCCCATGCTTCTGACTGTACCCAGTGGCTTGTATAAATAAATAAATAAATCTTTAAAAACAAAAACAAAAAAATCTAAGGGGAAAAAAAAAAATTAAGGGAACATAACATAACACTGTATATTATAAAATCTCTAAAACAGCTCCTCAATGTTGATGGCCACTTTAACAGCCTCTTTGGGTAACTCACTTCATATTTAGACAGATGTTTTTGGAACCAAAATCGGTTTCTTTGTAATTCCTATTAGTCTTTCTTTTGGGACCATATAGAATAGTTCGAATGAATTTTTCACTCACTGGCCTCTTGTTGATAGAAAGTAGTTCTTGAGACTATCTTCTCAGTGCACCTTGTGACTTTCCTAATTAGAACCACCTAGATTATTTGTATGGTTTCTTAGCCAGCCTTCCTGCCTCCAACCTGACCCTCTTCTGGTCCATTCTTCATACTAGAGATAGAATTAATCCTTCTGTAAACTGTTCAATTTATTCTTTTCTCACCAGTGTGTTGTGTGAGGTTCTCTGAAACTTGAACACTGCTTTTATCTACAACCCCTTTTCTGAACTACTATTTTTTAACTCCACCCATTAGCTACTCTAAAAGATTCGGTTTTTAGAACTGCTTTTTACTCACTTCTGCGCCTTTATACATGCTTTTATTTCAGTCTGAAGCAAAATTTAAAAAAAAAAAAATTTCCTCTCACTAATTCCTGCTTTTACAATTTAATCTAGAAGCTTAGGGGCCTCCCTGGTGGTGCAAGGGGTTAAGACGCAACCTATGAAGCTGTCCAGTCTCTGCAGCACAAGTTCAATTCCTGGCCAGCCAGGGAGCAACCCACATGGCACAGCAGAACTCTCCCTGACTTGCCCGCTGCTCCCCTCAGCAGTGTATTTCTGTAGATCTGCCTGTTCTGTTCCCCACTCTGTCTCTGCTAAATCCTCTCACCACCCACACCTCTGGCCTGTACCCCAGCTCTTGTATGCATAAATAAATAAATAAATCTTTAAAAAAAATTATCTAGAAACTTAGAGGCTACTTCCTCTGGGAATCCTTCCATACTCCTATAGCACCCTCCATCTCCAAGCATAGCACCTACCACTGTTGATTATACTTGACTGTTTAGTCTTTGCACCTCACTAGACTGAAGCTCTGTGAGGGAAAGATTTTGATTGTGGTTATAACTCCAGAACCCAGCACAATGCTTTGCTACACACTATAAATATCTGTTGGCTAGATGGGAGAGGAAATGACTCTGAGACTTTGCTTTCTTATTCATTTGAATCTTCATTGCTCTTTTAGCTGGTCCTCAGGGAACATCGTTTTCTGTCTCTTCACTCCTTGGGTCCCTTTTAGGCTTAGTGTGTTCTGTTTACCTCTGAGTATAACTCTCCCAAAAATAAATGTAATACCTCAGATGTAATACTACTTGTCCAGAAAAGACTATTACTTACTTGCTGCTACTTTTCATTCACTCAGAAACTTTTATTGAATCTCTATTATGTTTCATGCACTGTGCTAAATAGTGAAGCTAAAAATATTAATAAATGGTAGCCCCTGTCATCAAAAAACTTATACGTAAATTACTGTGATAAGATGATTATGAAAGTAAAGGTGTGAGTACATTATAGGAGATAAGGAAATGGTGGGATTTGGGGGAGACAGAATGCTACATAGAAAAAGCATTTTTGCTAAGCCTGAGTCACTGAGTAGGAATGACATAAGCAAAGATAAGGCCTGGGCAGCCAACTTTGTTTTCGGAAGCTCTAAGGTCCTTTCTTTCATTTTGTGATTCTGTTTCTATAAAATCTCCCAAGTAAAGATCTCTCACATTTCAGTATATCTGCATGGACCATCCCTAGCTAAGTTTCTCTTTCTGTTGCCTAGAAGTCCATATCCTTACAGGTATAGTGAGAAAAACAACAAGAAAAGCACTGAACTTGGTATAAACACTTTTTATTAAATGACAAGTCTTCAAGTGACTTTTCCTTTTCATCCTTTTATTTTTTACAAAGGAAATTGCATAAAATGTTACTGAGTCAGTATGAGAGTTAAAATTATCCCCCCCTTTTTTTAAAAGTAATTAGTCTATTCACTTTTTTAATTTGAGATAACATTGGTTTATAACACTGTGTTTTAGAAGTACAGAATTACACCTTCTTAAATATATGTCACCACATCACACCTATCACCAAATGCAATAACCGCAAATGACAATGCAGTGGACTCCCTCTACCTTTTGGCAGCCTCCACCCCATCTGGTAACATCAGATTCCCAGGGTTTGTTTTTGTCTGTTTCTTTGCTTTGTTTTTTATATTCCATGTATGAGTGGAAACCATCCAATATTTGTTTTTCTCTTGTGATTTATTTCACTAAGCATAATACCCTCCATTAACATCCAAGTTGCATATGGCGAGATTTCATCTTTTTAAATAATTGAGTAGCATTCCATTGTGTATCTTTATCCACTCATTCATCATTGGTCACTTAGGTTGTTTCCATAACTTGGCTATTGTAACTAGTGTTGCAATGAGCACAGGAATGCATATATCTTTTTTAATTAGGATTTTTATATTCTTTGGATAGATACCTAGGAGTGGAATTGCTGGGTCATATAGTAGACTTATTTTTAATACTTTGAGACGCCTCCATATTGTTTTCCATAGGGACTAGACCAGTTTACATTCCCACCGTCATTATACAAAGGTTCCTTTTCCCAACAACCTTACCAACACTAATTATTTTTGATCTTTCTAATATAGGCCATTATCACACGGGTGAGATGATATCTTACTGTGCTTTTGATTGCATTTCCCTGATAATAAGGGATGATGAGCATTTTTAATGTATCTGTTAGCCATCTTGTTTTTTGTTATTTTGCTGTTGAGTTCTTTGTAAATATTAGATATTAACCCTTGTCATATATATGATGTACAAATATTTTCTCCTATTCAGAAGGATATCTTTTTGGTTTACTGGTAATTTCTTTCACTATGAAGAGCTTTTCAATTTGACATAGTTCCTTTTGTTTTGCATTTGTTTCCCTAGCCACTGGAGCCAAGGCTCCGAAGTCATCAATGAAGCCATTGTCATGGGTTACATTACCTTGTTTTCTTCTGTGTATTTTATGGCTTCAGGTCTCGCATCCAAGTCTTTAATTCACGTTGAATTAATTTTTGTGCTCTTAGGAATTTGAGTTCCCCACTTTAAGTAGAATAAAATAGAGTTCTTGTAGAGGAAAGTGGCCAGAACATTGCCAACAGGCATAGAGGTGCCTGAAAACCACATCAAATTAGAAGCCAAGGCATTTGTGACGTGTTAGAGAGGCTAGACATATCTAAGTCCAATGAGTAGAGTTTAGAAGACGTACTTTAACTACAAAGTTTAAAGTCTACTCATTTGTGCTATGAAACAATAGCCAGTTTGGGGGATCAAGTCCAGTTTGCTATCTGTTTTTTGTAAATAAAGTTTTAATGGAACACAGCTAGGCTCGATTTACTTATATACTGTCTGTGTCTATTTTCATGCTACAATGGCAGGGTTGAGTTGTGACAAAAACTGCATGGCCCACAAAACAAACTTTTTAGTATTTGAACCTTTACCAAGACTTTATTAACCTCTGATTTGTATCTTGCTACCTGTCCTGTTCCTTTTGTGGTTATTTTAGTACATAAAGAAGTGGTAAGCTTGTTTGTCTCCATTATGAGCATTACAATATAAGTAATAAGTAGTGATAAGAATGACTCGATATCCTTATTGAGTCAATATAAATTTACTTTACAATTTACCTGTTAATAAGGGACTGTCTTAGCAGTCAAATAAAAATACTTATATAGATATGATTCATACCTCACAGTGTATGAACTGTTTTAAACAAAAAGATTACTTTCCATTTTCTTGGTAAGAGGGTGTTTCCTAAGTAGGAAAAGATGTGAGGTTCCTTACCTGTGTAAAAGGGATTGATTGCCATAGTTGATATGTATAATAGAGAACTATAACTTATACCCTAATTATTTTGATATCCCTGGTATCATCATACTTTTTAAAACCAAAAACCTGTGGGTGTTTTTGGTCAGAACTCAAGCTGATTCAAGCAGTTGCCTAGGACTGACCAAACCAGACCCCTAGATCACAGTAGTTACTAGTCAGGTATATTTAAATCAAAATTAAATAAAATTTAAAATTTAATTCCTCACTCACGCTAGTCACATTTCAAGTGTTCAGTAGTTACACTTGGCTAGTGGCTATCTTACAGATAGAAAAATTCTGTCTGTCGTCACAGAAAGTGTTTTTGGACAGTGCTGCTCTAGATGCTAGAGCTCGAGTCACAGTCCAGTTAAATCCAAGACTTACTATTTAATCCTTCATTTGTAAAGATGGAATGATAATTTGTAATGTTTTGTTTTTCTAATAAAAAGTAACAATGCATGTATTCAGTCTTCACTTGAGGGCTGTTTTAGCTAGGAGCAAACTTTTTATTAAATCCTGACAAGCTCTTTAAATCTTGATTCCAGGAAATATCCATCTCATTTTACCTATGGATTAACTATTCAAGATGACTAATCATTGGCCAGTTCATAAAATGGATAAGAACTGACTATAATTTCTGGAAAAATCTATTTGGCTTGGTTAATGATGGTGGGAAAGGTACTAGCTTTAAAACAGAAGCTATAAAGTCAGTAGAGTATAAAGTCTTGGCATCATCTTTGGAGTGATTTAGATTTCATTTTTCAGTGACTCATTTTTATTCTCAGCAGCTAGTGCTTTATGCACGGCCCAAAGGGGCCTTGTGCTGCTCCATTGCAGAGGAAACTTCAAGAAATGCTGGTTTGCTACAGTGTTTTAGCTTGTGAAAGTCTCTGGGACCTTCCCTGCTCCATCATGGGGTCACCTCTAGGTGGGTATTAGTGGGAGATTGGTAATTGGTTTATCCTTTTAAAATAACTTGGTAATCTTTTATGATCATCTAAGATATGTATATAACATCCTGTCCCTTAAATGTTTTGCCTGGTTTAAGCATGGTGTCTCCGTAAAGATCATTCTCTCCCACAGTGTTCCTCAAACTCTAAGGCCAGCCACTTCGAGAGGCTAAAAGATTCTGTACATTCCCCAACTTAATTACTGTCATCAGAAATATAACCCTGGTCCTATTTTTCTCTATCAAATTTTTGTCATTTTGTACTTTATAGCAATGCAACTATGGCAGAGATGGGAATAGGGTGTAGTTAGGTGAGGGACAATCACTTTTTAGAATGAGTATTCAAGTATATTCTCATTCCTTCTGGCTTTCCTTACCCTGAAATCCTTTTACACCATATCCCTAACCTTTCCTCTGTTCTCTCTGAGCTGAGATGGTTGTATCCAATCATATTGTGTGTGAAAAGATATTACATGAAGATAGTAAGTGACCTCTCCAAGAGACATGTTGTTCAGAAGAAACCTCCATACCCACTTGCTATCTCTTCTGTTTTGTACAGGCTGCCTGGGCACTTCTTTGAGACTGTGGTATCTTGCTTTCGCATTTTGGATCACTTTAGGAACTAACATGTCCAGGTTATTTTCAGATCATAATTTAAAATTGACATGCAATGATCCACTCAGGTCACTTACATTCCTACCCTATTGTTCCTTTGAGCTTGAACAAAATAAAATAAGTTTTCTTAAGCTCCAAGCCAGTCTGAAAATGGTTTAAAATTTAGTGTAGATTATATCTTGAAAACATTTTTAGGAAGTTGAGTGTGATATAAATTTCTATTTCCTTTACAGGTCATTTTACCTGGGACAAATACCTAAAAGAAACATGTTCAGTCCCAGCACCTGTCCATTGCTTCAAGCAGGTAAATGATTCTCAGCATCTTTAGTGGGTGGGAGGCAAGTTTTTTCTAATTCATAGACAAATAAAACATGAGGTTGGAGCGTCTCACTTGAAGTCCCCAGAATAAACTGTGGAAAGAATACAACTCAAGATGTAATATTTGGTCACTGTGAGTTTAGATAATATTCCTGCTTCCCAGTTTCATCCCAAGTAAAATCTTTTCCTTCTTCTTTACCTCCTTGAGGATATTCTGTGTTACTGAAAATAATTGCTATTTTTTGCTATAGCTCTTAATTCAAATAGATATGTAACAATTATAACTCTTAGATAATTTTTCAAAGTAGAGTAGTATTCATTTTTCTATACTCAAGATCCCTTTCAAAATCTTAACTTTCCGTAAGGAAGCTGACACTGAGCCCCACTGGGGGGTTTTAGGGTTTTATCAGACACCATTCAGTTTCCACATAGTATTAAATGCCCCACATGATGTACAAATGATGTTGACTATGTTAGTACATGATAAGACTGGTAAGCAAAGAAGTATACTGCTGCTGAACAGGGTTAGACATCAGAAAGCTATTTACATCTCCCTTCTAGCCAGTGCTTATTTCTTCAAACTGTGAACATTTCATTCTGAGTTTGAATTTTGTCTGTGCTCTAAATAAAAATACAAATTCAGGACTTATGCTCATTTGAAATAATAGAGGCTGAATTCATACTCCCACCTGAAATAGTAAAAAAGAGAGACAAAATATATTAAATATTTTTCAAGCTACTAAATCTCAGAGAGCCAAGCAAGTGATCTTGAGAGATGGTGAACAAATGAATAGAGAGATCCCCTTATGATTTTATTGTCACCAGCATGCTTGAGAGTTTTAAGACCATGGCCCAAGGAAAGGAAACCTAGATTGAATCCAGTAGACTCCCTAGTTTGAGCAGATAGAGCTGAGAGACTAGTACCAGTAGACTCCCTAATTTGAACAGATAGAGCTGAGAGGAAAGGAAACAGCAGAGATCTTCAGAGAACCCCCTTGAAATATTCCACAAAGTACTATTGTTGACTATATGCTTGTGAAGAAACTACCCAAAGCCAAGGAAACAAAACATCTGAAAGGATTACAAAGAATAGAGCCTGGCACTCACACAGGACTGTGATTAGTGCCTGATCCCACCAGCTAGAGGAGAAAGTCTCATAATACATGTGACATTGGTTGGGGTATTCACGAAGATCTTATTCAGGAGTGAAAAATAATTAACCCTAAATAGAGCACTGCTTGGAACCTAACAAATCATAAAAGCAAGATTCAAAATGATTAAACTATTTCCAAGTAACTAAACACATCTAGGAATAAAGCACAAAAAAGCAAAGCAAAAACATCCAGCACCTGCAAGGTAAAATTTATATGCCTGACATCTAGTCAAAGATAATCAGGCATATAAGAAGGCAGAAACATAACCAGTATTAAGCAGAATAACCAACTGGCTGAAACAGGATTGGAATGTATTTAGATTTAGAATAGCAAACAGAAACTTTAAAGCATTTATTTTAATTGTATTTCATCTGTTCAAAAGTTAAGCAGAGACATGGGAGGTATAAAAAGCCACATATTAAACTACTCTGTGAAAATGAGAAATACACTGGACACCGAATGGAACTGATCACAGAAAAAAAGACTAGTAAACTTGAAGAAAGCAAGAGAAACTATCAAAAATAAAAGGCAAAAGAGAAAAAAGAATTCATGAAAAGAGAATCTGTGTTATGAGATAACTTCAAGTGACTTACTAGACCACATAATTAGAGTGGTCAAAGAAGAAAAGAGATGAGAGGACAGAGTGCTAAAAAATGTTCAAAACTGAGGAAAACTAAATTCACAGATCTAAGAAGCACAGTGAGTTTCTCCTCTCCCCCCCAAAAAAAAGAAAACTACACTATAGCATATCATGAAATTGCTCAAAACTAGTGATAGAGAACATTTTAAAAGCCGCCAGGGAGAAAAGACACTTTACATACAAGGGAACTAAGATAACAGTGATGCAGGCAAAGTATAAGATAAGGGTAATAATTTTTTGGTCAGTATGCAAACAAGAGGAAGGTTGACTCACATCTTTGAAGTACTAAGAGAAGAAAATTAACGTAAAATTCTGTGTTCAGCAAAAAATTCTTCCAAACATGAAGACCAAATGAAGATATTTTCAGACTTAAGAAAACTGAAGGAATTCATCACTAGTAGACTCACACTGTAAAAATTGTTAAAGTCCAGCAAGAGAAAGAAAATGATACCAGATGGAATTATAGATCTACACAAAGAAATTGAAAGCCACTGCAAATTGTAATTACAAGGATAAATATATGAAAAGTTTTTTCACATTGATACTTAAACATCTCTGTGAAAGATAAGAGTATGTCTACTTTGGCCACTTCTTGGCAACATTGTACTACCAATAGAATCAGTCCAAAGAAAAAAAGAAAAGGGATCCAGATTGAAAGATTAGGGATAAACATCAAAGAAAATATATGGGTGGCAAATAAGCACATGACTCTCAGCACCACTTCATTGGGGAAATACAAAGTAAAAGCATAATGAAATAGCACTACAGATCTTCCTTGACTTGTGATGGAGTTACAACCAACAAACCCATTGTAAGTTGAAAATATCATAAATCAAAAATGCATTTGATATACCTAACCTACCAAACATCATAGCTTAGGCTAGCCTACTTTAAATGTGATCAGAACACTTATATTAGCTTACAGATGCACAAAATCATGTAATACAAAACTTATAATAAGGTGTTGAATATCTCATGTAATTTATTGAATACTATACTGAGAGTAAAAAGCATGATGTCCTAATTCAAAATTCAAAGTACATTTTTTTTTTTTAGATTTACTTATTTATTTATTTATACAAGCACTGGGTACAGTCAGAAGCGCGGGAGGGTGAGAGAATTCACCAGAGCCACAGCGGGGAGCAGAGCAGGCAGAAGGACCGAAGCACACTGCTGAGGGGAGCAGCGGGCAGCAGGAGAGGTCCGCGCGCCATGGGGGACCCTCCCCCGGTGGCCGGGGAGCAGCTGGGGATCAAACCGGCGCTGCAGAGGCTGCGGGCAGCTTCGCAACCCAGCGCTCAACCACTGCGCCACCGGGGAGGCCCCAAAATTCAAAGTACATTTTCTATTCAATGCATTTTGCTTTTGTACCATCATAAAGTTAAAAAATCTTAAGTCAAACCATTGTTAAATTAGATACATCTATATACATTTATTTAAGTATCTCTGATTTTAAAAATACTGGCCATATCAAATAGTGGCAAGAATGTGGAACAAGTGAAACTTTCATAAATTGCTGGTGGAAATGTAAAATGATTTGATTTTTTGACAAAATTCAGCACAGCACTTAATTTCAAAAAAATAAAAATCAGTAAATTAGGAATTGAGTATTATTCCCTTAACTTAGAAATGTATTTTTTTCACCTGAGTAGTAAATCCAGAATTTTACTCAGTGAGTACAAGTAACTCAATGGAAGATATAATAGAAGAACTCCCCTTTACAATAATAGCAAAAAGGTATTATTTAGAAATACACTAAAAATGTGTAAAACTCATATAAAGAAAATACCTTACCAAAAGCATGTTTCCTTTTTTTTAAATTTATAAAATGGAGTTTGTCAAAATTGAAAACTTCTCTTCAAAAGGCATTGACAAGAGAATGAAAATATAAACCACTGACTTGGGGAAAGTATTGGCAAATCATAGCTAACAGCAGTGCTTTCCATATTGATCTATAGATTTTATGAATTCCTATAAAACAAAGCAGCCTGTTTTGCAGAAATTGCAAGTTGATCCTAAAGTTCATATAGCAAAAAGGGGACCTAGAATAGCCAAAACAACCTTAGAAAACACAGGTAGAGGATTCACATTTCCCATTTTCAAAACTTACCACAAACTCACAAAACTCAAGAAATCATGGTACTGGCATAAAGATAGGCATATAGATCACGATTAGATTTGAGAGTCCAGAATTTATGCTCAATTGATTTTTGACAAGGGTACCAAGACAATTCAGTGGGGGTTTCAACAATTGATGCAGGGATAACTATATTCCCATGCAAAAAATTATGAAGTTGGACCCTAACTCCATACCATATACAAAAATTAATTAACTCCAGGTGTTAAAACTCTTAGAAGAAAACGTAGGACTAACTCTTGATGACCTTGTACTAGGCAGCGTTTTTTGGATGTGGCACCTAAAACACAAACAACAGAAGAAAACCTAAATAAATTGGACTTCATCAAAATTAAAAGTTTTTATGTTTTCAAGGACACTATCAAGAAAGTGAAGATAACCCAAACAATGGGAGAAAATATTTGCATAATGTATCTGATAAGGGAATTGTATCCAGAATATATAAAGAACTTAGCTAATTTTAAAATGGGCAGAGGATTTTAGTATTTCTCTAAATATATACAGATGACCAATGAACACATAAAAGATGTTCAAGATCATTAATCTTTAGGAAAATTCAAATCAAAACTGCACTGATAGCCCTTCATATGTACTAGATAGCTAAATTTAAAAAGGCTGATGTAAGTGCTGGCAGAAATGTGGAGAAATTAGAACCCTAATATGTTGCTGGTGAAATTGTAAAATGTTATAACCACTTTGGAAAAGGGTTTGTAAGTTACTCGAAGTATTAAACATAAAATTATCACATAAGCACTCTTCTGCTCTGAGTAGCACCTGTGTATAAAATATGCACTGAAGAGAAATGTAAACAGAGGTCCACACAAATGTTAATGGCATCATTATTCACTGTAGCCAAAAAGGGGAAACAACTCAAGTGTCATCATTTGATGAATGGATAAGCAAAATGTAGTGGTATAACCTTACAATGGAATGTTATTCAGCAGTAAGATTGAGTGAAATACTAATAGATGTTACCATATAGATTAACCCTGAAAAAAATCATTCTTGGTGAAGAGCAGAAAAACTCACGTTATATAATTCTATTTGTAGTAAATGTCCAAAACAGGCGAATCTGGAGGGAAAAAGTAGATTAATGGCTTCTAGAGATTAGATTAGGAGAATGGAGAGTTACTGCTAACAGATACGGAGTTCCTTTTGGGTGATGATGAAAATGTTAGCTAGAGTGATGTTTTGCACAACTCTGTGACTATACTAAATATACTATAAAAAGGTAAATTCCTTGTCTGTGAGTTATATATATACCTACTATATGATCTATCTATTCCACCTTTAGAAATTTAACCAAGAAAGTATTATTTCCACATAAAGATTTATACATTCCTGTTCAGAGGATTTACTTGTAATAGTTAAAAACTGAAAATATGCCAGATAGTCATCAACATGATATGCAACTCAGCAATAAAAAGAAATAGATTGTTGATATATTGATATATTCAGTAATATTTATGGATAACAGTGTAGTTATGCTAAATGATAATACCTAGAAAAAACCTACAGCTATCTCCATCATACTAAATGCAGAGAAACTAGGAGCTTTCCCATTAAGATCAGGAACAAGACAGGATGTCACCTTTCACCATTCCTTTACAACTTGTCATTGGATGACCTAGCAATTACAATAAGACCAGAAAAAGAAATAGAAGATACATAGATTGGGAAGGAAAAAATAAAACTCTCCTTATTTTCAGATGACAAGATTGTCTATGTAGAGAATTTGAAAGAACTGACCAAAACAAAAAAAACAAAAAAAAACAACTCCTCCTAGAACTAATAAGCAGCTCTAGCAAGATTGCAGTATACAAGCGTAATATATGAAAAGTCAGTCGCTTTTTTGTAATCAGCAACAATTAGAATGTGAAACTGAAAACATAGTATCATTTATATTAGCACCTTTAAAAACTAAATACTTAGTATATGATACTTGTATTCACTATGTACAAGATTAATAGGAAAACTACAATGCTTTGATTAACAAACTCAAATAAAATAAAAACTAAATAGTCATGCCTAAGGATAGGAAGTCTCAGAAATGTCAATTTAACCTATAGAGTCAATGCAGTCCCATTCACAATCCCAGCAAGTTATTTTGTGGATACTGATAAAATGACCCTGAAGTTTATTTGGAGAAGCAAAAGCTTCAAAATAGCCAACAAAATATTGAGGAAGAACAATGTCAGAAAGCTGATGCCGCTGATTTTAAGACTTATAAAACTACTGTAATCAAGATAGTGTGATATTGGTGAAAATAGACAGGTCAATGAATCAGAATAGAGAGTGAAGAGGATTATTGGAGCTTTGGTGGTAGGTGTGGTCTGATAACATATTTGAAGAGATGTAAGCCTAGAACCCTGAAACACATAGTGTGGTAAACCAGTGTTATCTCAATAAAAATTATTTTTTAAAAAGGAACCATAAAATGCAGAACTATAGCACTACTAAAAGATAATAGAAATCAAGAAGACCTTGTGTATGGCAGTAACTTTTCAGATACAACACCAAAGGCACAGTCCATGAGAGAAATAATTAGGCTCATTAAAGTTAAAAACTTCTGCTTTGCAAAGGACACTGTCAGGAGAATGAGAAGACAACCGCGAGCTGGGAGAAAATATTGGCAAAAGACACATCTGGTAAATGATTGTAATCCAAAATATACAAAACATACTTAGAAACTGAACAATAAGAAAGCAAACAACTCAATTCAAAAAGCAGGACAAAGATCTTTACAGACACTTTATCAAAGAACATAACAAAGTAACCTATGAAAAGATGTTCTACATCATATGCTGTCAGGGAAATGCATATTAAAACAAGATACCACTATACAACTATTAAAATGGCTAAAATCCAGAACACGGACACCACCAAATGCTGGCAAGGAAGCAACAGGAATTCTTAACCATTGCTTGTGGGAATGCCAAAAGGTAAAACCAATTTGTAAGACCATTTGGTGATCTGAAAAACCACATGCTCTACCATATGTCCCAGCAGTTTACCCAAATGTACCACACTAATGGAGGATGTTGATAATGGAAGAGATGTGCATATGTAGTGGCAGGAATTATAGGTAATTATAGGTAATAGCTGTACCTTCCTCTTAATTTTTCTGTGATTATAAAAATGCTGTAAAAATGAATTACTAATTTGAACAAAAGAAATGAATTATTAATACCCTGAACAATATGCATGAATATCAGAATAGTTATGCTGACTAAGCTAGACATCCCCCCAAAAGAGTATATTCTCTATGATTCCACTTAATACTAGAAAATGCAAACCAAATCTATGGTTGCTTTGGAACAGGGATCTGGGAAGAGCCAGAAAGTGGGATTATAAAGGGACATGAGCAAAGTTGAAAGTATGTCCACATTCATAATTGTCATTGTGTGATGGTTTCAAAGGTGTATGTGGTATATATATATGGTGTCTTGGGTGTAAACATATGTCAAGACTTATCAGCATGCATAGTTTATTGTGTGCCCTTAACAACTTAAAATTGTTTTTAAGAAAACCGGTTGATTTATAATTTAATGTCAAAATAAGTAAAAAATCAACCCCCCATCGTTTTTCTTTGTGATAGATATGCAAGCCAATATACTGAAATGCTTAGCTAAGAGATACTAAGGAGAATGATCGTCTAATACAATGTAATGATCCTGAAAAGAAAGCATTATGAATTCCTGGAGGGCTAGGGTATTAGAGAATATAGGATGAGAACACATTTAAGTAAGGGCCATTTAAGACACTCATGTTCTTTTCTTACTGGTTTAGTCAATATTTGATACTTAACGTGAAAAGTAATTTTTCTCCCTTCATCTTACCTTCCAGTATTTCTTCTGCACAAAACCCTCCTAAGTATTAGGAAATAATTAGTAAATAATTAAGTATTAGGAAATAATTCCAGGCAGTAATCCCTGGCTTATCTGCAACCAATTTGAGTCCAAGGCATAAATTTTCAGGTTCCATCTCTTAACAACCTTAATGGAAGTATTGTTTACTCTTAGTCTGCCTAATCCCTGTGGCTTGCTCTTCTCAGTCCTATACCCCTCCAAGCAACAATTTCAAGATCAGCATGAAACTGGAAGCACAGGATCCCAGGAACACCACATCCACCTGTATTGCCACAGTTGTTGGACTGACAGGTGCTCGCCTCCGTCTCCGCCTTGATGGCAGCGACAATAAGAATGACTTCTGGCGGCTGGTTGACTCAGCTGAAATCCAGCCTATTGGGAACTGTGAGAAGAATGGGGGTATGCTGCAGCCTCCTCTTGGTGAGTAATGAGCCCAAGTTTTCGCTAGCCAATTGGTTGTCCAAAAATTTTGAATCCTATGTGGAAGCTCTAGGACCCTGCCTATCCCTTCTGTTTATATAGTCCAAAAGAAAAGGTCCACTCTAAGTGAAATGAGCTGTACTATCTGGACACCTCCAGCTTGGTATTCACTTACATCTATGCTTCTCTCAAACTCTCCTTTTTAACAAGAAACCACACCCTTCATCCTTCTTTGTCAGTTCCATTTACCCTGAGAGAGAGAATGGAAGAAAATCTGATCATTTAATCTACCTGAAAATGCCACAGAACTTTTCACCAAATCCTACAATAACAAGAGGCGAGGGAAAAAAATCTTAGATGTTACAGGGGTCCTTTATCTCCTTTCTCCCTTGGTCCTTAGAATTTCTCACTTTGAATCGAAATTAAATAAAATACTTAATACTATATTTTGCTTAAACTAACAACCCCACTAGATTATTTTCCTCAAAATCAGATTCACTTTTTTTGAATGGCCTCAATATACCTGAGTGATTTAGCCCATTTCATCAGTTACCATCAGTCAGTAATGCAATGAATTTCAATGGATAAAGAGAGATAGGTTATGGGCTTTGGGCTTTGTCCCTTTAGAAGTTTGTGCTTGATTAATGAGCATTAAAAGGCATGTATCATTTGAAAGAATTCCCTATGTATTATTTAACATTGTTCCCCATTAAAAAATATTTGTAATATAAAATTTCATACATCTATGAAAGTAGAAAGAATAATAGAACTGTTAATGCATCCTTTATATTATTAATATAAACACATAAACAATTTTATCTGTATTCTTATATACCCCCAATCCTCTCTGGCCCAATTGCCCAAATATAGTATCATTCTCTCATTAAATTTATGGTATGTATCTTTAATAGATAATATTTTTAAAACATAATAAATTACTACATGTAAATAATAATAATTCCTTAATAAATATTTATTCATTGTCTAAATTTTCCCAATTTTTTTGTCTCCCTTCCCTGTCTCTCTCTCTTGCTGTCTCTCTCTCTCTATAATAGTTTCTTTGAATCAGAAGCCAGATAAGATTCACATATTACAGTTGGTTAATATGTCATTTAAATATCTCTTAACCTATAGGTTCTCTTTCACTCTCTTATTTTTTCCTACAATTTATTTGCTAAAGTACCTAAGTCATTTGTCTTCAAAATTTCCCACAATTAGATTTTGATGATTTTTGATGATTGTATCTCTATAGTATCAGTTAACATGTTTCTCTATCCTCTCTTAAAGATAGTAGTTGCATGTAGAAGCTTGATCAAGTTTAATTTTTTCATAAGAAATATTTCATAGGTGGTGGTGTTTATTTCTGTAGGAAGCATATATGGTCTGGTTATTTATTATTTTGTATTGTATTTGTTATTTATTATATTGTAGCCATTGTTGTGATCTAGATCAGGGGTTGACAGATTTTCTTAATGGGTCAGGGGAGTAAAGGTTTGCAGGCCATATATTCTCTGTTGCAACTACTCAACTTTGTCCTTGTAATGCAGTAGCAGCCGTAGACAATACATAACAAATGGGGAAGGCTTTATTCCAGTAAAACTTTACTTACAAAAATGGGTGAGGACCTCCCCGGTGGTGCAGCGGGTTGAGCACAGCACTGTGAAGCTATCCGCAGCCTCTGCAGCGTGGGTTCGATTCTGGGCCTGCCAGGGAGATAACCACATGGCGCGGCAGACCTCTCCTGTCTCTCCCGCTGCTCCCCTCAGCAGTGCTTTCGGTCTGTCTGCCTGTTCTGCTCCCCACTCTGTCTATGGTGAATCTTCTCACCCTCCTGTGCCTCTGGCCTGTACCCCAGCTCTTGTATAAATAAATAAATCTTAAAAATAAAATTAAATTAAATTTTAAAAAAATGGGTGAAATGCCTGCTGACTACAGTCTGCTGACCCATGATTAGATCCATGAATTCATTATGGTTGCAAAATGGGAAATTTAAATTTTATCATTATATCCTCATAAGTGGAGTACATCTATTAAACTTTCATCAGTCATTTGGTTACTCTGAGGTGTAGTTCAGCATGTGCTTGTTCTTCATTTGACAGTTTTCAAAATAATGAATTGTTTTATTGACATTTAATTTTTCTTGTTTTATTGTTTAGTATCTAAACTAAAGGATTCATACATATTTGATGTGTTTCATTCTATTGCATTAATTGTCCTTATTGATTCATAAATTGTCCCATCTTTGATCTCATAGGAGGCTAATCAAGTTGTCTTGTATTCTTTATTATTTAATAGAGCTCTTAGATTTTTTAGATTTCAAAATGCTCCATACTCTTCTTGTACATTTGCTACCCCAAATATGGAATCAACTTTGTTTTTAGGTACCTGGGCTCTTTTTAGTGGGAAGTGGTATTTAGAGACCATAACCTGAGCACTGAGGTGTTCAGTGCTGCTGGGCTGGTCATCCTTTCTAGTTCCTTTGATAAAGACAGGAACTGCCTTTTTTCTTTAAAATTGTTCATATTGATACATCCTACTGTAATTCATAACAGTTACTTTTGGTTCTTTCATCTTTACTATCTTAAATTTATATCTTTGTATCACAACAAAGTACTCATTCTCCATGTTTCTAATTAAATAACTCATTTGCTTATCCAGCAACATACACATAGTGGTCTCAGAATAACAATATTTCCACAACATTGTGGTTACTAACAGTGTTTGAGTTACTTGCTTTTCTTTTTTTCTTCACATCAAGGGAAGTTTAGCTGATACTGTGTTATGGTATCATTTAGATTACTTTCTGTTTCGTCAGGTCTATAAAAGACAGCGTATTCAGTGACATTACCTCACCCTATTCATTTCCTCTACCATAGCTAACCAGTTTCTTTAAACTTTGTTTGTAGTCCATTTTTTTAAAATACACATAAATGTGTGCATAAACATATGTCTCCCCTACCTTCTTATATAAATGAAAGCATACTATACAAATTTTAAACCTTCCCTTTTTTCATCTTATAATACATCCTAAAGATGACTTCTTAATTGTACAAAGACATTCCTAATGCCTTTTTACAGCTGTATAGTATTGAATTATTCTCAAGATATTTTAAAAATTATTATTAGCAGAGTGATCTTCTCATTATAGCAGTAATAGCTTGTAAAAGGAAATTAAATGTATAATTCCACTATCAAGGAAAAACATTGTTAACATTTCACTTTTACTTGTTGGTCCATTTTCTATGCATATGTATGTATTTTGGTTACAGTTAAGTGTGTATACTTAACTATTTTGTAATCTGCTTTTTTCACTTAATGATAAGTTAGAATGTAGTCCAGTATGTTGTTAAATATTACTTTAATGACTGAAGATAAGTAAAAATAAAATTACCATTTTGCAACCATCATTTTCATTGATTCAGGCAAGAATTATGACTGCTAAAACCATTGGATAAAAAAAGCTGAATAGCTTTAAGATGTTCATGTAGTCTAATTGTTTCTCCTCACTGATTACCTATTAAGTACAAAGGCAAATTACAATGAAGAAATCTGTCAGTCACTCCTTAGCAAATGATCAAATTTTATATTATCAATAATTAAACTAAGTGATATAATGTGCCTCTTGAAATAGTGCAGTGAGAAATACTCAGCATCACTTTATAGTGTTTTTGTCAAAACTCTTTAGCGTGAGTGTAATGTAAGGAAGCAATCAGAAAAAATCAAAATTGTGGGATATTCCATAAAACATCTAGCTTAGACTCCTCAAAAATATCAATTTCATGAAAAACAGAGAAAAGATAAGACTATTATAAGTTAAAGGAAAGTAACGTAACATGATAACCAAATGCAATATGTGATTCTTGAATGGATCCTATATTTAAAAAACTAAATAGCAATAAAAAATATTTGGGGGACAATTGTGAATATTTTTAATTCAATTTCTTGGGTATGATAGTATTGCAGTTTTAAAGGACAATTATGATGAAATTAGGGTTGAGGTGTCATGATATCTCGAACGCTCACATAACTCGGAACAGTATGTGGATAGATGGAAAGCAAATGTGTGAAATGTTTTTAGTTGTTGGATCTAGGTGAAGATACATAGTTCATGTACTGTTTTTGCTACTTTTCTCTAGGTTTAAAGTTTTCAAAATAAAAATTTTAAATAAATTATTTAAATAATTATACATATATATGTGTGTGTGTTCATGTTCCCCAGGCCTCCTCTGGACCTCTCCCCAGAGTTGCTGAATCAGAATCTCTAGGTAATGGGGCTTGGGATTCTGCATGGCAAAATGGCTCTCCCGAGACTCTAACGAATTTGGTCTATATTTGGGAAGCATCGCTCTGGAAGAGCAATCTTCTCCATTAAAATCTTGTATGACTTGTGTATGTGCGTGCATATGTGTGTTCTGTTAACTGAGGAACATTCATTACTCCCTTGCAGAGTACTTGGGGGGGGAAAAATGGGAAGGTTGGATAATTCTCAGGTGGCATTAGCTCAGTGCTACCAAACTTTTCTTCACACCCCTTTGTTTTACTAACCTATTTTACTACTCAAGACTGATTATTTCTTCTACACAGGGTTGTCTGGATCACTAGTTCTCACACTTGGCTGTCAATTAGAATCATCTTAGGGGCTCTTAAAAATTTAAGTACGCAAACCCTTGAAATCTGGAACTGAGGCTACCATAGGGGAGGGTTTGGGATAGGAGCAATGTGGGGCGAGGGACCAGTGGTTTATGGTGGAGGGTTATTGGAGCTCTGGTGGTAGGCATGTGTGATTACATACATTTGTAGAAGTGGGAACCTATACCCCTAAATCATACAAAGTGTTTTAAACCAGTGTTACCTTCATAAATATAATTTGAAAAAGTTTCAGTGCCTAGACCTTACCTCAGATTAGTTAAATGAAAATGACTGATATATAACTGATGTATTTTTTTAATGCTCCCTAGGGAATTCCAGTATCCAAGTTTGGAGTTACTCATATGGAAGGGGAACTGGTCTCTAGTGAGGCCCCAGACAAGTGTGTCAGGATCCAAGTACAAACTGCCTGCTCAGCAAACTTGGTCACATGCTCTGTGTATATGTGATACATTGACTTGAAAGGAACCCTTCGTATGTTCCTGCCACAGATCAGTCTTCTCATTTGCAAAGTAGCTTCCAGGACTGTCAGTAAAAAGGAATTTAAAAGACATATAACTGGGCCTTCCCTGGTGGCGCAGTGGTTGAACACTGGGCTGCAAAGCTGCCCACAGCCTCTGCAGTGCCTGTTTGATCCCCAGCCACCAGTGAGGGTCCCACATGGTGCAACAGACCTCTCCTGCCACACCTGCTGCTCCCCTCAGCAGTGTATTTCATCAGTCTGCCTGTTCTGTTCCCCGCTCTGGCTCTGGTGAATTCTCTCACCCTCCTGCGCTTCTGACTGTACCCAGTGCTTGTAAATAAATAAATAAATCCTTAAAAAAAAAAAAAAAAAACACATAGCTTATCTTCTTGTCACAGAAATTAGAACTTCATAGAAATTTGTCCAGAGCAGGGTGAATAGGAGGGGGACAAGAGACAAATGACTTTAACCATGGTGTTTTATATGCTTATTTTATTAAGATAGTGTTTAACCTACTGAAGGCCCTCTTTCCTGCAACAAGAGCCCTGGAATTGGATAATGCTAAAACCATCTGTATTTAAGCTAATCTCAAGATTAGTCACAGCCCCCACCCAGTTAAATTAATCTGAATTTACTTGTGAGGGTTAATATGGGAGTATAGCAAGGAATGGGGTGAAAGAGTTTTATCAGAACTGAAAGAAGTCCTTCCCAGATACCATCAATCTGAGTGTTCACTTTTTCCTCAGAGACAGCATCTCTCTTACCGTTCTTCTTATTTCCCTCACTCTCGGAGTACATTTTAAATAACCACCCAGTTTTGGTTTGAACGCACTACTTTGGTTCAGTGTCCTCGTCTCACACAGGAAAGGGGAAGTTGAGTTGTATGGAGGTGTAGTGAAGCAGTGGCGATTTTCTGTACATGTATTTGTATATGTGTGTAAAGATCTGGAAGGTGAGAATGATTTGGGAGTGTCATGGAGTCATCTTAACAGCCATATAGTCTAATAACTTCACAAACCTTGGAATTACCGTAACGTATAGAATAATTGCACAGTGGTGCATGGGCCCACATGTGGTTCCTGCTGTTCTTTTACCTGCCACTAGGGGGCATGAACTATGATTAGATTCCAGAGCCATTGCTCTACATTTGAGTACAGAGCTTCGTCCGGTCACTGTTAGTTTAAGTAACTGAACCCTGACATATTAAGTAGTCTTACATTCTTGGTAACACCTGAAAACTCTTTATAACTAGTTCTTTATAAATAATTTTAAAAGAAATCCTAGGTAAGGACAAAACATTTGGCAGCATGCCTGGATTTGAAGTTAAAGAGACCAGGGCCTCCCCGGTAGCGCAGCGGTTGAGCGCTGGGCTGTGAAGCTGCCCGCAGCCTCTGCAGCGCCGGTTCTATCCCTGGCCACTGGGTGAGGATCCCACATGGCGCGCAGACCTCTCCTGCTGCCCGCTGCTCCCCTCAGCAGTGTACTTCGGCCCTCTGCCTGCTCTGCTCCCCGCTCTGGCTCTGGTGAATTCTCTCACCCTCCCACGCGTCTGACTGTACCCAGTGCTTGTATAAGTAAATAAATAAAATCTTAAGAAAAAAAATAGTCCTTTTTCCCACCACCCACTTTAAAAATAAAATAAAATAAAATAAAGTTAAAGAGACCTAACTAGTATTAGCCCAGCCACTTACTACTTCAGTTATGTTGCCACTGGTTGGTTGCTTTACCTTGACTTTTAACCTTGAATTTCGATTACCTCATCTGCCAGATTATTGATAAGCTCTGCCATACATGGTTTTTGAGAGCATTAAATGGGATAACATAAAGCATCCATCAATTCCTAGCACCCATTCAATAAGTGGAGTGTTTTCCTTTGTTCGGTAAAATTCTTATGGAGCTTATACTGTGTTTGTAAAAAGTAAATACTTTACAAGAAAAAAATTCAGATGCTGATTAGAACTAAGGGTAAATTAGAAGGGAGCAGCATTTAGGAGGCTATTTCAGGCATGGTAGTCTAGGAATACCTCACTGAGGAGGTGATGTTTCAACAAAGAACTAACTATTAAAAATTTAAGGAAAGGGGAATGGTGTTTGGAGCTGAAAGACACTGTTTGGAAGACCAGTGAATAGAGGGAGTAGGGGAATGATAGATGAGTTATTAGAAGGAGGCAAGCTCCGGATGATGTAAACTTTGTTAACATGCTTAAAGTATTTATATTGTGTTCTGGGATGTAAGAATAAAAGTGGTATAAATATGATTTATGTTTTTTAAAAAATATATAGCACCCTGGCCACTATGTGAGAACAGACAATAAAGAGGAAAAAGTAGAAGCAGAGTCCAGTTAAAAAGACTGTTGTTAAAAAGACTGTTGTTAAAAAGACTGTTGTTATCCAGGCAAAATTTGACTGTGGCTTACATTAGGGTGGTATAATAGTAGGTAAGAAATAGAGACTGGGGGCCTCCCCTGGTGGCGCAGCGGTTGAGCGCTGGGCTGCGAGGCTGCCCTCAGCCTCTGCAGCGCTGGTTCATTCCCCAGCCGCTGGCGAGGGTCCCACAAAAAAAAAAAAGAAAGAAAGAAAGAAATAGAGACTGGCAAGAAATTATTTGACGTAGGGCATATTAGACATAAGAGCCACCAAGGCTTGGTAACTATTTTGAGGGGTGATATAAAGAAAGCAATCAAGGGTGTCTTCTAAGCTATTTGGGCTGAGTACCTGGTGCCGTTAACTAAGATGAGATAACTGGAGGAAAGAACAAGCTTGGAGAGGGTAGCAAAAATTTCCGTTTTAGACTTACCCAATCTAAGATTTCTTGACATATAAGTAGAGGTGTGGAATAAAGCAGTTGGAAATAAAAGCATGAAACTCAGGGCAAAGGTTTGTATTAGAGATAGAAATTGGCAATTACCATTTGATAGGAAGAAAATAGAGTGTCAGGAAGAGCCCTGTGATAGGCATCACCACCAAATCACAGAGAATTAGTACTTTTTCCCAAAAGGAAAAAAAGTTAGACAAGCAAAAATGTGATAGCAGTTTGAAATTGATGGAAAGATCCACATTGCGGTGACCATTGATGATATGAATGTGCTATCCCAAGAAATATCCTGAACTTGGCAAGTTTGGCTTATATTCTAGCCAGCTTTGACACTGAAAATTTAAATTTTATGGTGTGGTCAATCTCTTTTTATTTCCATTTTTTCACTCCCCTTTAATTATAGTTATTAACACTTAATCCCAAAAGGTGATTCTTCCTATTGCATTTTACCTGCATATTGTTAGCTTAACATAGTGGTTAAGTGGGTAGGCTCAAGAGTCATATTACCTGAATTTTCATCCTATCATTGTCATTTGCGCACTTTGAAATCTTAAGCAATTTACTTTATTCCTCTTTTAAAATAAAGATAATATCTACCTCACTGGGTTGTCTTCATTAAGTTAGTGGAAAGTGATTGGCACAGTATCTAACCTGCAATAAAGTGCTCAGGTAATAACAGATACTGTTATTGTTGTTATTTCCTGACCAACATCTTTGGTGTGGCCTATCCTTTTGTCTGGAATGGGAAAGCTGAGTTATATGGGAGACTATGAAAAAAGGCTCTAGATCTTGTCATCTCAAGATAGAGGTGAAGCAAATAGAAGGAAGCACCTCGAGCTCTACTTGGAAGGCCTAAGATAATAATTTTATTTTTACAATTACTTAATTAAAAGGTACCCTTTTTTGGCATTTACTTGCTGAGTGACAATGGACCTCTCTAGGCCTCTCTTTCCTCTTTTAGGAAATGAATATATTTGCATAGGATGATCCCTTCCATCTTCATCATCCGAACTGCTCCTTAGTTGTTTAAGTACAAATGAATATCAAAAAGTGTTTTGTACTCAGTGTGTGTATGTCTGTTGGATGTAAGTGTGAGAAAGAGAGAAAGGAGAAAGAGAGAGAGAAATAGTAACAGTATATATTGAGACAAACCAAGATTTACTTGTTTTGACATTTTTGGTTTCTTAAGAGATTATCCCCTTTCACATTCTTACTAAGTATTTGTTAATCCTATCTCACATTTATTTGGATTTTCAAAGGTTTTTAAGCATTATGATATATTTTTTTGGAATACTTGTTTTAGAGTCAGGACACTTGATTGGGTATTCTGTTCCATTACTTACTTTGCAACATTACCATGGGCAAATTACATTCCCTCTTACTTGCCTCATTTTCCTCATCTGTCTAATGAGGCATTTCTTCTATTTAACCTTTAAGTCCTTTCCTAACAGTCTATGATTCTGAAACTATCACAGTATAGGTTGTGGCAGGAGTAGCTGGAGTCCCAAGGGAAAACTTGATAGCACCATTCCCTTTGAAACATATTTTTATCTGTTGCCCATTATGTTTGCTGCAGGATTTCGGCTGAATGCCTCCTCTTGGCCCATGTTCCTTTTGAAGACACTCAATGGAGCAGAGATGGCTCCCATCAGGATTTTCCACAAGGTACAGTGTCCCTTCAATGTCACTAATTCCAAACTGCTTAAAATCAAATGCTTATATTCTGCATCTCTAATACTTTCATTCTGTTTGTGTCCTGCGGATGGTTTTTTAGTACCTTATTGAAACAGCAGTTATCCCCAGAGGAATATTATACTCTTAAGTTATGATTCCTGGTTTTTGGGTCCCAGCTCTGCAAATAATAAGCTCTGTCCTTTTATCTTGTCTATATAGTAGAATTCTGTTTCTTAAGAAATTAAAATGTGTTTATTAGTAAAATATATAAACCATAATATAAATCTGAAGTAGCTATTCTTGTTGTAAATCTTGGAGCTTTATGCAGGTCTATATTCTAAACGAAGAGAAAGGAAGACTACTTTTTGAGTGTGTACAGTATGTTTGGGGTTTATATATACTATCTCATTTAATACCCACAGTTAACTTTATGAAATAAGAATTTTTAATCTATTTAATAAAGAAACAAATACTTTTGTATGAGGAACTTGCCCAAAATCACATGTCTAGTAAGTGGTGGAACTGAGAACCAAAACCGTATTTAGTCTTCCTTGTTTCTCAAGAGATGAGGCTATCCGTCTGCTCTCAGCTGAATTCTTCAGTGAGGTTGGAGTTATGATAAATGAGGACTGAGTTAGGGTTGCTGTGCTGCTACTTAATGCCAAACTCTGAAAGTGCTCTGATTCCCAGAATATAATATAATGAGCAACTTAAAAACCCTTTCACTACAAAATATCTCAAAGTGCCAGCAAATACTCATTTAAATGCTTTGCTGAGCTTACTAAAAAGCAAGAAAACTCTCCAGAAGGCAAAATGAAAAAGAAAAACCAGAGTGTTAAATGTATATACTGAATCTACAGGAACTTTGAAAGGCTTTCCCAGTCTTATTTTCCAAGGATCTTTTAATAGTCTCAATAGAGTTGAGACTTTGGGCCTATACAAGTCAGAAGAAAAGGGCCTGAGACTGCCACACAAAAACCAGATGAGATTCCTTGAATGTTTACTCCTTAGTGAAAAGATTATCACATTGATGAGGAGGAGTATCTGCTAGTGTCTCTGGACAGAGTTGGGGATGGAGTCATCGCCTCTGATAACACAGTCTTCTCCCATTGAAACCCAGGGTTCACATATACCTCCTGTGTTATCCAAGGACTCCAAAATAATATGTAGCTATGCCTGGGTACCTAGCAAAAGCAAAATAAAAACCTCTCTCACAGGTTTACCCAGTAGTCAGAAGTCCCCAAAGTGAAATGCTACTGAAGATGAGCATTCAGCTCAGAATTATAAAACCCTCAAAAACTCTAAAAACAAAGCAAACCATGATGCAACATCAGTAGATACAACAAACAGTATGTTTATTACCCCAGAAGCTTTAGATAATAGAAATATCAGGTAGAGATTTTAAGTATTTAGAAATTACTAAGGAATGAAAAGAAGGAATTCTTAAAATGAGGAAAGTTCAAAACCCTAGTTTTAAAATAAGAATTGAAAAAACCAAATTGGACATCTAAAACTGAAACTTAACCATTAAAATAAAAACTTAACATAAGCAACCTTGACATAGATAAAGAAGAATTAACTGAAAAAACTGTATAAGGGATTTCCCCAGCATGCAACAGAGAGATAAACATGGAAATATTAAAAAGAGACAAAGGAAATATTAGGTCCATTATATGCTGAGCATGAAATCTAGAAAGATAAATTAGAAAAAGGTATTATTTGAAAAACTAATGCCAGAATTTTCAAGTGTATGTACTAAAGATAAATACATTTTTAAAACATCATGGTATAACTAAAGTGAAAAGAGAAGGTCTGAACAAGTGGTCACACAGATTAACTTCAAAGGAATTACAGTTGGACTGACAGCATATTTTTTGACAGCAGTTATACAAGCCAAAAATAACACAATAGTATCTTCAAGGTTCTCAGAAAAAAACAATTGACCAACTCAAATTTTGTATCTATTTTATATTATTATTTCAGAATGAATATGAAGTTAAGACATTTTCAAACAAACCAGTGCAAGTAGATACCAATGTATCCACTGAAAGAACAACTGAAGAATATATTTCAGGAAAAGGGTTATTGAACCCAGAAAGTAAGATGCAAGAAGTAATGGTGAGGAAAGATTAGGTAACAATTACTTAAAGTTAATGAAGCTTTATCACTGTAAACCAATAATAATAACAAAATGATTAGTTGTCAGTATAACAATATGAAACCAAATTATCAGACACCTATTAATTCAGGAATAGTTAAAATACTCTTCAGGTTCTTGGGGCCAGAGATAAACATTAGTTTAGACTTAATTGTGACAACTGTGCAGCTATACATTCTTAAAGGGATCCTCTAAAAGACAGTAAATAGAATGTTAACATCTGAATCAATAGAAGGAGAAAAGGGGAAGAAAATTCATTTGATTGTAAAGAACTTTGAAAATAAGTCAAGTGGAAATGTAGACAATATAATCATGATAATAAATTTGAATATATCACTTATCATGAGAAATGAACTTACACTCATCAATTTAGTCAGACATAAGTTAGATTGTTTTTAAGTCTGGCAATATGCTGTTTACAAAAGACACTGTTAAATATGACAACAAAAAAAAGGGCACAAAAATGTTGACAGTAAAAGAATATAAGAGATATTCCAAGCAAACCTTTATAAAATAAAGCTGATGTTAACTATACTAAAATTAGAGAAAGGAGACTTTGATGCTATAAAGCATTAAAGTGCTTACTATCACTGAAAAAAATCACAGTGCACCAAGAAATTAAAAATTACAAGTGTGCTTCTAAAAAAAATAGCTTCAAAATATATGTAAAGCCAAATTTGACAGAATCTTATGGAAAATTGAAAAATCCACAATAACTGAGGGATATTTTAATACTCTCAATAATTGATAAATCAAGCACACATTTATCAGTCAGCATAAACGAATCAGCATTAAATCAGTTGATCAGTTTTTAAAAATCAGTTGCATTGCTATTTACCAGCAACAGAGGGTTTAAAAATAAAAATTTTAAGAAATAGCACTTATAATGGCAACAAATTATTATATGCTAGGAAATTTTTAGTAAAAACCATGAAATATTAATAGAGGAATTTTTAAAATCTATATTGAACTATACATACAAGAGGAAAATGCTGTCTGTCAAGTTCATGGATGGGAAGGCTCAATATCTTATATACAGAAGGTATTTCTTCCCAAACTAATCTACAGATTTATTGGGATTCCAGTCAAAATCCAAGTGAGATTTTTCTGTGGAACCTGAAATTCTTATGAAAGATCAAGGAAATAGCCAAAACAATATTGATAAATGACAAAACAGGGTGTTTTCTACCAAATATATATTTGATAAGGCTATGTTATTGGTGCAAGATCATACAGTAATGCCAGAGGAACAAAATAGAGTATCAGACACACTTTCAGAAACTATCTGTGCAGCTACATCACAAATCAGTACCCAAGAACTCTCCATATTGCTGGTGAGGGTACATAATAAAACAACCACTTTGGAGCACAACTTACCAATCTTTACTGAAACAGAAGATGTATTTATCTACCCCATAACCCAACAATTCTACTCCTAGGTATATAACCTAAAGAAGCCCTTCTACATATGTATAAAGAAACGAGTGAGAATGACCATTAAAACTCTTTTGAAATAGTGAACACTTCTTGAATACAAAATAACCTTAAATGTTCATCAAAAGAGAATGAATAAATAGTGAGATGTATGTATGATGGAATACTATTAGCAGTTAAATGAAGCTAAATGGAGCTAAATTTATCAACATGGGTAAATTTCAAAAACATGTTGAACAAAAATGCAAGTTGTAGAATGATAGTACAGATTAATACCATTTATATAAAATTTTAAAGTATGCAAATGGATATGTACATATATAGTGAAATATAAAAATATATGTAAGGAATTGGGCTAGGGGAAAGGAACAAAGGGGATTCAACTTTATGTTACTTTTATTTCTAAAAAGAATGATCTGAAGTCAAAATATTAGAAGTAACAAAGTAATACATTGGTATACTTTGAAATTCATTTAAAAGAAAAATTCATTCTCCATTATGAATCTTACCTAGCATTCTCTTTTTAATCACCCATGTGAGGGAGCAGTGTTTTGGCATATATGGCCTCTCTCTCCGTCTAGGATGCGTATTTCTGTTTCTCATCTAGGAACCACCATCGCCTCCCCACAACTACTTCAAAATGGGAATGAAGCTAGAAGCTGTGGACAGGAAGAACCCTCATTTCATTTGCCCAGCCACTATTGGGGAGGTTCGGGGCTCAGAGGTGCTTGTCACTTTTGATGGGTGGCGAGGGGCCTTTGACTACTGGTGCCGCTTCGACTCCCGAGACATCTTCCCTGTGGGCTGGTGTTCCTTGACTGGAGACAACCTACAGCCGCCTGGCACTAAAGGTAAAGGCCCTTCTGTGAGCTCTTGAAACCAGGACCCACGTTGATAAGGGAGACTACCTATACCTTTCATGGTCAGCATATTTTCACCAATAAACCTCCTTTCTAAGCAGAGGAGCAAGGGCCAGCAAATTAGGTCGACAACATGGTGTACCCAAGAGTAATCAGAAATAGTAAGGATAAAATATCAAAGAAGCTAGACATGGAGTATGAGATAAAGTAAAAATTCCTCGCTCTAAATATCCTGATGCTCAGATAACTAGCTTTTCAGCTTTTACTTTTGTTCCTAACCCATTTTGGAGTTTGAGTTAGTGTCATTCTCAAGGTACACATCTTCCTTACGTCTTAAAGGCTTCGTATACGAATATGTTTTAAAAATATTCAAAGCACTATAGCAGAATAGAAATTGCATGGTCTTTAACATAAGATAAACTTACGCTTGCCTTCCAGTCTGTCTTTTACTCATTGTGTGGCTTTGGGCAGTTAGTTCATATTGCAAACCTCAAATTCCTCATCTGTTAAAGAATACCTACTTCATAAAGTTATTGTGAGGAATAAATGAGATTATATGGGTAAAACGCTTACATAATATCTGGCAAATAACCAGTGCTAAACAATGTTTTTATTGTATTACTGCTGTTATTATATACTATATTACATTTAATGCAACTACTATATAATGTAGATTATTGCTATTATCCATTGTAATATGCTGTATTTAAAATGTTACAATACTATTATTATAAAATAAATAACCACTGCCTATGGAAAAGTTACACAAAGTCCTAGAATAGTGCCATAGAGTAATTAAGCAGTTGATGATATTGGAAATTATCCAGGATCAAACTTGAGATATCTGCTCTTTATAAAGGAAATAATAAGACTCTTCATCCTCTTAAGTCTAAAAGTACTGGTGAATCTGAGGGAATAACGAGCCATCCTTCGTACTATCTCTTTCCTAAATCTCTGTCATATTCATTCATTCCTTTAGCCAAATATTTATTGAGCATCTAATTGTGAGCCAACACAGTGACAAAGATGAGCAGTATTCCTGCCCTCATGGAATCTTGAATTCTAATGGAATGAGATAGCTAAACAGTTATATCAAGTAGTAATTTGGTGATTCCAAATAGACAGTTCCTCATAAGGAAATAAAATATAATAAGACAGTGACAACGAAAGTGTGATTGTGAAGGTAGTTTTTTTGGTTAGCAGTTTTATTGAGTCTAATTGAAGTAAGATACATGGCACATATTTAAAGTATACAGGTTGAAGATTTTTGAAATATATATACTTCCATGAGCCATTACCATCATCAAGATAATGGACATATCCATCACCCCCCAAAAGTTTCCTTGTTTGTGGAAGAAGAGCTTCTTCAGATACAATTTCTTTTCAGGAAAATGCGTCTGGAAAGGTGATATTTAAATTGAATGACAAGAAGGAGTCATCTAAGGACAGAAAATGCCAAGCAGGCAGGTGGAACTGCCTGACAGGGAAATTGGTAAAATCACGTAGTGAAAATTTGTATTTTATTCTAAATGCAGTAGGGAGTCACTCTGGTACTATAGTAGAGGAATGACAAAATCTAATCTATTTTTAAAAGGGCATGTGCTCTTATATGCAGAATATAAAAGAATACTTACAACTCAACAATAAAGAGAAATAACCCAGTTTAAAAATGGACAAAGGATTTGAATATTTGACACTTTCATAAAGAAAATATACAAATAGCCAGTAAGCACTTGAAAAGATGCTTGATGCCATTAGTCATTAGGGAAATGCAAATCAAAGTCACAATGAAATACTACTTCCCATCCATGGGTATGACTGTAATTAAAAGACAGATTATATATAACAAGTGTTTGCAAGAATATGGAGAAATCTGAATTCTCATACATTGCTAGTAAGAATGTAAAAGACTGCAGTCACTGAGGAAATAGCTTGGATGTTACTCCAAATGTTAAAGAGTTATCTTTGATCCAGTAATTCTATTTGTGAGTATATGCCCAAAGGAATAAAAAGCATAACTCCACACACAGAGTATCATGAAAGTTCATAGCAGCATTGTTCATAATTAGCCAAAAGTTAAAATGGCCCAAATGTTCACCATCTATAAATAAATAGAGAAAAAGATATGTAATATATATCCATATGAAATACTTTTTGGCAATAAAAGTGAATGAAGTAATGATATATGGTACAGCATTGATGTACCTTAAAAGCATTATGCTAAGCGAAAAGAAGTCAATTACAAAGACCATACATTGCATGATTGCATTTAGGAGCGGTATCAAGAACAGACAAAAACAAATAAAAATAGGTTCATGGTTGCCCAGGGGCTACGGGGAGTAGAAGTGGGAGGTGACTAGGGGTGGGGAGGATTGGAGGGTAATGGGTATATTCTAAAATGAGATAGGGATGCTGTTTGACTCTGAATCTACTAAAAACACTAAATTGTACACTTTATTAGGGTGAATTTTATGGTATGTGAATCATATCAATGAAGCTGTTATTTAAAAAATGACTTGAGTTGTTGTATGGAGAAAGGGTTGTACCATGGTAACTTGGCAAGAAAGAGAGGATGGTTGTTTGAATTAGGATAGTGGCACTGAGGGAACTTAAAATGTCAGGGAAGGGGAGCCCAGTGAGACTCTCTTCTTGGCTCAGCAAAGTGGTATTCCTCTATATACTTCAATAAACAAATGTCTTGGGGGTCAGTATAAGAAACCCATTGTCATCCCTCTACAATCCCAGGGAAATAAAATCTCTGTGGATACAGCAGCAAGAGAGGTGCTTTGGAAGTGGAGTCATCATCGTTTGAGATCAAACCAGAATAAATCTTGGAACTCCAGGTTATATTCAGTGACTATGTTGTGTTTCTCACTGTCTTATCCAGAGAACGCTTGTTACTTTGATTGGTATATCTAGAACAGCTGGGCAGTTCTCAGGAATCAGAAGAGCTGAGTGTCTTTGTGTCCAGGAATTGCTGACCGCACACATGATGATTAGAATTATGACTCACTGTGTGGGAATGCTTCCAGGGGAGTTTGCTAACCATTTTCCTCTCCTCTTCTGTGTTTTTCTGGAGATCTTAGATTTTTTTTAAAAGAAGATGGCCAGAAGGATCAGGCTTAGAAGGTAGAGACCTGCTTCCTGATAGCAATTTCAGACCAGGTCCATCAGTCATAATTCCAGGAACCAGGTTGTTTCCTCCCAACAACTTCTTCTTCCCCCACCTTGTACTCTCTCAGATGGTCCTAAATTGTAAGGCTCAGTAATAGCAAAACCTCAGCCATCTCAGTGTCCTGGATAAGGAGCAAGTGATACAATATGGAAAAAATGTGGTTACTCAATTCACTTCACAAAACAAGATGTTCTCTATGTGTAAGCCTGTTTTCTTTCTGGCCATGCTATCTCCTCCTTCCTTCCTATCATGTACAAATGTTAAGAAATCCAAAAGTAATATGACATTGTTTCTTGCTCAAGTGGGTAGGAAAAAAAGGCCAATATTCATTTCATTTTCCTTTTCACATGTTGTTTTATCTTCCCGGTAATGCTGAACTCAGTGTAATAATTATCAGATACATTGTATTTGTGTGAAAAGTGAAGTTCAGAGGATTAATCATTTTGTTCTTTTGATATCTAAGTCTAGAGGGAGAGATCACAGAGATCTTTTAGTAGGACCAACTGTCTTTTAGTAGGACCAGTATAGCACTTTGGCTTCCAGCTCCTGATGTGAAATAGGAAAGAAGGAGAATAGTATAAAATCTGATGATTGAATTGGGGTCTTGTCCCAGCTGGTCACAGACTTGCTTTTGTCTATGAGCAAGTTATTCCTAATGTAAGAGGTTAAACTAGATGATCCTTAAAGGCTCTCCCTTTCCCTATCCCTATAATATGGTATAGGTTCCTGATACTGGAAATGGATGACTCCTGTGACTATTCCCTACTCATTCCAGATATGTCATCTAGCTCTGTCCTCTACCCATCTAGTGCTCTGCCTCCCTAAAAGCACTCCTGAATACTGTTTCTCCTTTGCTGAACCAGTAGTATCCTTTTTAGCTCCTAAATGCCTGATGCCAAGCAACTCTCATGATCAACAAATAATAAGCGTTTGATTAATCCAGGGTACTTGGTCATAAAAGGAGGGATTTTTAAGCTTATCACCCCTATGTATGAGTTAAAATTGAAACAGAAGTATGCTTAATTTTTTTATTTAAAAACCAAATAGAGTTCAGTTCATTTGTCATGACTATGATGCTAATTAGGTCTTTTTTTTTTTTAAATAATAAATTTTATTTTTATATTCCCCCATACAATTGCAAACGCCCCATTCTGATCCCAATCCCTCCCCTCCCGCCCCTCACCCCCCAAAAAGTGTCTCTGGTTCATAGTTTTTTGTTGATTTTGATTTTCACTTTCTTATAGTTATTCATTTTCCTGGTCCCTTATTTAAGTTTTCTAGATTCCTGCTATGAGTGAGACCATCCGGTATTTTTCTTTTTCTTTTTGGCTTATTTCGCTGAGCATGATCCCTTCCAACGCCATCCATGTTGCTGCAAATTGCATGTGTTTATCTTTTTTGAATGCTGAGTAATATTCCATGGTGTATATGTACCACATCTTCTTGATCCAGTCATCTATCTAATTAGGTCTTTAGCCATTATAGTCATCCAGTTAATTCCACCTAGCTCTAATTTTAGCCTGGGCAAACCAGTTTCAGATTATAGTTTAGCTCCCTAGTAGTTATATAACAGGAAGAGAACCTATAAGATATAAATAGATTTATATTCTAAGTATATTTCTATTACAGTTTAATATATTGCTATTCTAAATTATGCATCAGTCTTTTGTGAATTCATATAGTATAGCTAGGTTTTTCTGCTCTCTATATGCTGATACAAATATGGGACTCAAATAGAAGTGCAGCTCTTGAGCATTCTTGTTGGAGTAAATGGTCAACCATGCCTCTTTTCTCCTTTCAGTCTAGCCTAACAGTG